AAAAATGTTTAGAAAAATAAAGGCTATACTTTTAATAATTACTTTTAATTCGTGATAACTTGCAGACAAGACCAACCCTAGAAGTTGAGCTCCCTCTACCTGGTAATATGGCTGGTACTTGACTGAATGTGACGATTTGATCGTGTAATCGATTTGAGAGAGGACAGAGACGCCAGAATAACTTTAGGGAGTAGGGAGCACCAAGAAAAAAGGACAAACTAATTGCAAAATAAAAATAATTTCTAAATTTCACTGCTGACGCTCTTACCTATTTCACTGCAGCAGCCTCTACCTATTGCATAACTAATTATCTGGTTCTCAGATCGGGACCATGGGGTTCTCAAATGGGGAAAGCAGCTCTTTCCATGTGACCAGGAGGACCTAAACTTCACTTTGGACACAGCACAGATCATGAATGTTTCTAAATTAAGTCGTGAATCGGTGAATCTTGTACCAATATGAATCAGTGTCATTTCCAGGAAATCATTTTTGCACAACAATATTTTCATGCCTTAACTGTTATTCTGTCTCTTTGCATACAGACGAATTTGTTTTAGATAAAATAGGGAAGTTAATGGAGGGGGCTTTTTAAAGCAAGGCTTTGTCCGTTTAGGGGTTATTTTTTTGTGGATCTTAGCAGAGGTGGTATAGAGGGGGACAAGGGACCTTAGCCCTCTTGGTATAATTCAAAATGGTTTTTTTCGGCTCAGCCTCCCTTGGCAAATGAGCACATGTTTTGCTGGACGAATTCTGTGTTGGCAACCTTTATTTATTCTAAGGATTTTCCATGAAAAAGTAAATTTCTATCAGTCTTTTGAGTCGGTAAATAGTCGGAATAGAATCGAGAATCTGTAACAGAAATAAGTTTATTGGGCGTGGTCACGAGTGTGGCTTTTAGAAGTTACCTACAGTACAGCTCTCTGCAAATTTTTATGACGGCCTCTGTCATAGGGTATGTTTAGGCAATAGGAATTTCTCATACGCGCCATAAACTACGAAAAAAGGAGTAAAATATTCTCAGTGATTTCCTGTCAGCCTGTAGTGAATTTTACTCAAGTATAAAATCTCAATTTACTTAAGTTGCACCAAGGTAATTGATTGCCTCTGAAAAGCCACTGCCTATCTTGAAAATGTATCTTGGGTACTTAAAACCATTAATAACTGGGAATGATCAAGACTGACAGTAGGACACCCACCAAGAACTGAAATTTTATAAATAACCTGTAAGAGTAAGTTGAATAATTGGTGGCCTCTAAAAGAGCGTTTGCATTTTATTACTCAATATATCTTCGCTATGGAATTTTTGCTCGATCTTGGTCTTATATCTAAGAATAGAGCGTGGTCGTGTATTACAATCCAAATGACATACCTTCGTTTCACGTCATCATTACAAAAGGGGATTAGATGATTTGTTTGCAGTAAACAAACAACTAGCCTGCAAGAATTGATTAACTCGACGTGTCTGCTGTAATCATTTACAAGGATTTTTCCTGTAAGTTTCATAGTTAACACGTCTTTAATTTAATGTCTTCTTTTATAGACGATGTCCAAGGTTGAATACAACCTTCTATTCAATATAACCTTAATTTTAATTGGTTTCAGATGTAATATCCTCACTTTGTTTATACTTTTATAGAGACCACACAAAGATAATCAACAAGCAAGTTGAGTTTTTCGACATCTGTGTTTTTGTAGTTTTTTCTTTGATTAAAACATCTTCATTGAATAATTCCCGTTACCAATCTAATTGCTGACAGCAATGTCCTTATTAACAAAAGTGAAATGATCTTATCACTTCGTTGTTGACACATTGAAAGAACAATATTTCTGAATCTACTCAATTAATGCAGAGGCAATGCCAAGCAACTTCATCTTTCTCTTCAAAGTCCTTTTCTTCTGAGAGCCTATTGAAATTTGTGAAATAAGAAACCGGTCCTGTTTAAAGGTTTTCATGTTTCTAAGGGAAACAGAATTTCAAAGCATAACTAGCAGGGCCTCCGATTAAGGGAGGGTGCGGGGCGTTGCGGGGGCCATGGCCTCCTCCACTTTTTCAAAACAGTAGAGCTTTTTCAATTTTTATTCATTATGGGTGTTAAATTTTCCCTTGGCCCCTCACTTTCAAACTTGTGTCGGAGCCCATGAACTGCTCAACGATTGCTAATGTTGAATTAATCAGTAACCCCTTCTTTCACTGTTATTTATTCTCATTTTGGACTTTTTTATTGTTTCAAAACTTTAATTTACTATACATGGTACTAATCCTGTATATTTGTCAATTAAGAAGTCAAAGCCAGCTATGTAACCTACTTTCATTCCCAAGTGTCTCAACAATTGAAGCAGTCTTTTGAGGAAAGATGCTTGCCATGCATTGCATCGTATGGGACAAGTGCCAAAATGGGGTTTGGCACGCTCTGTTGCCATTAATCTCCCACAACGTCCACCCTCTCCACTGGAAACAATAAACTATTCAAGAATTAGAGAAACGAAAATAGATCTATTTAAAATAATTAGTTGTTTTGCATGGCGTACTTGTTTTCCAAATGAAAACGTCTTCCATTCGTTGATACAGAGACATGGTACTTCAAAGTAATATGTGTACAGTACCTGCCAAATTTACTTGGAACACGCAACAGCTTTAGTGTTGCTTTATAGCTTTTATTTCTTTCAAGAATAATAACACTTCTGTTCCCCTCCCCCTTCTCTCAAAACAATGTGATATCATAGTCAAACATCATGGAGCCAACACAAAGTATGTTTTTGAAATTGCAGAGGGGGATAGTTGAAATCGTGGGTCAACAAAATGGACGTTGTCACTGTATCCTCAATTTATTTTGTTCCTTTACTATCATATGCTTCTAAAATTTCTGCCGATAATAGCTGAAGAATACAGAAATTACAAAGCAATACATCTAGCATACGAAAGGGGTGCAGTAGCCTTGTTGGAAGAGCATTTTGCTCCTCTAAAGCATCAGCGCTGTGGGAAGAGCACAGCTGAGCATGTTCATAAAAAATAATTTACGCGTAAATTATCAGAGCCACGTAAATTCGAGTAATGAAACAAAAGTAAGAAGTTGAGAGACAGAGGCCTGCTCCAGAGCCACCGGCAATTTTACAGATTGAAGAGGCTAAAACGTTTTTTCCGGAAGAGGGGGGTAAACATGCTGAAAACCTAAAGTTTAAAGCACTTATTGAGAATTATTGGAGGGGCTGATAAAGTTAATCGTGATAAAACTGAATATGAATATTCAAGGCAGGAAACTGCTGCCAGGCATCGTCACACCAATGCAGAAATGTAGCCACCCATTTTTCCGACGTATTTTTGACAGGATAGTGTTTGCGCGATGCATACAAAAATGGTTAAGAAAATAGCATGTCATGTCTATTATCAGCACATGTCGCATTATGATTATAATTTCTTGTAAATATTGCCTTTATAATAATTACCATTTTAATGCTAATTAATGAGTGGGTGCCTGTACACCCTTATTACATTTCAATTTATATTTTACCAATCTGTACGGGAAAATATCTTTACTACGAGGGCAAAATCTTTCCGCACCATCATTTTCTTCGCAACTCTGAATATTTCTGCTACATGCATGAGATATAAAAATTTACTTTTGGCAAGGTTAAATTTTATTATTTTCTTCTTTATAAATTCATGATGAAAAAGCTGTAAAAATTTGTCCCATTCTAAAACTTTGTCACTTAACTTTGATCTCGTCTTGGTGTCTTTTTATGACTTTTTATGTTTTATGAGTTAATGTCGAATGACGTTTTATAGAGAAAAAGAGCTGGCTGGTCTGAAAGTAAACTTGACGTCACAATGTCCTTTTGGTGAAGCATTATTTGTCGTTATGTTTGTTTCATGTTTTTCTCATATATTTCTTTTATTTCTTTTCTTCCGCTTTTCAAAATTTTATATAAGGACCTCAATTATGGAGATAAAAGCGCATCTCTTAGGTGTTCAGAACGGAATGTTATAGTCCTGTTGGACAAGTTTCGTTTTTTTCTAAATAGTAAACAAAAATGTCAAGTTTGAGCTATTTGAATACATTTGAATTCGTTTTATCAGATGGCCCAGATGGGGGTCAACAATAGACTTACTTGAGGATTGGGAGGCATAATTGGTTTTGATAGAAGATGGGGGCACAGGCACAGTTAGAAGATAGGTGCACAGGCACAGTTAGAAGATAGGGGCACAGGCACAGTTAGAAGATAGGGGCACAGGCACAGTTAGAAGATAGGGGCACAGTTAACTTCCAAGAGACTTTTGGTGCCTTTGCCCTTTTGTTGAACTAACTGCCGCTCGTTCGGAACATGTGGCGGAAACATCTATCAAGTATTTTTTATTGAAATTTACCCAGAAAGTTACCTCGCAAGAAAAGACCCACTGCGCTTGCCATTAAAATAAACTTATTCCTGGGAAATTTTGATTGTATATGTTTGAACGATAAGAGTATTGTCGATAGCTTTGACTCTTATCAAAGGACACAAGCAAAGTCGAAAGATAACAGGTTCGAACTTCTTTGTGTCAATCTGCTATCTTCTCTTGAAAACGTGTGCTTCGGTAGGTCAGGTTGACAAAATCAGATAAACTTTTTATCATGTTGACGGCTAAAACCCAGGTAGGAAACATCCTTGTGGCAAACCACAACAATGTCGGCCCAGTCCCCTACTTTCGATTCCCATGAATGCACGCAATTAAAAACGCGTGCTCATGAATACAGCTGATCAGTATATGTTGTGATATTATTCGTGTAGCACTGGTCGACCTGCCGAACGTATTGAATGACTTTTGATAGCATGTGAGGCTAGCATGCTTCGTATGGTGGATTAAAGTACATTTATGCAACACTAGAAACACAACTTCAACAAATTCGGAGATTTCAGTTAAAATTTTGGAAATTTTGTATACAGGTGGATTATCTTAAAATTTGACGGCCGTATGACAGAATCAAGAGCAACGGAGGTAGACAGCTGATTGCCTGTAAGTCGTTGTTGCGTTGCTGTTGTTTACTATAATGGTTTTTCTTCATGTTTTGCTTCCTTCCTAAAGAATTTTGTGAGTGATGTTGGTAAAAGGGGCGCTTATCGGAAAATTTTCGTAAAGTGAACAGTAATCGATGGTACAGAAGCTTTGTTGAAAAGTGACTGAATATACATGATCGAACGAAACGAAGTCTTAGAAAATTAATATATCTAGAAATGAAGAAGCATATAAATTTATACTGAGTATCTATTGAAGAGTGTAGCAAAGTGAGCTGTGTTCAGTGGACAAAAAAGTTTAATATATGTTTCCGAGCTTAGTATGTCTTGAAATTGGTAAGCCAGCCACAGGTCTTCGCGCGTCTTTTTAATAGCGTACAGGTAATGTTGTTGCTTCGTATTAAGAATTCCCGTTTGTCTTACTTAGCATCGCGGATACATAATTACGCTAAAAGCTGTTGTAGATGGGCGGTGAGTGTTGTGGTAGACACCAGAATCTTTTGCTAGAAATCTCTTAGTAAATTGATGCAGTTTTGAGCTTTTCAGTTGAGCTAGCGAGTTAGAAACTTCGTAGAGATCTACTCAGAGTATCAGTCCATAGTTTTGCCCAGCTCCTATATTTGGTGGCTTTATAGAAGAATAGAAGCATCCTCCTTAGACATTAAGAGGTAGGATCAGCAATCTCCTCAATGCGCTTTATTATTCATGTGGAAGTCAAAATCTGTAGCGAAAAAACAAGTTTAGAAGTTTATCTTCGCATGATCGTTTAATTCGAACTTTTTTTATCAGCATAATAATCAAGTGTAAAGGGATAACATATTAAGTGACAGTTGTCATGCCTTTAATATTGTTTTAAACTTAAGCTGAGCTGGTCTTGGCGGATTAAAAAATCTTCCAATTTGAGTAATCATGATATCATTCTTTCAAAACATGATAAAATTTTGTTCTGCAAATGGGCTATGTATCTAAACGAAAACGTTTTTAGAGCTTTTACTACAACCGAACATCACACTGCCTTTGTCTAACACGTATCATAATTGAAATTGAGCTAGAAATTGCTTAATCAGTTATCCAAGTCCATCGCTTATTCCTGGTTTTACTGACGCCTTTTTAAATCAAGAAAAAAATGTTTTGGTTGTTATGACCACACAACATGGTAAGAGCATGCTGGTGTCCAGGACTACCATTTTTGTCGAGCATATGAAACAGGAAACTAGAAAGTATTGTTAACGACTGTTTGAAGCTGGGTTACACGTGTTGCATCAAATATTAATGCTTTTCACAAGAACTATAAACAAGGAATGAGCGTAGTTTCAAAGGAATGGACATGAAAGAAAGGAATGGATTTATGACGTAGCAGGTTAGACATACCTTTGGTTGCTCTGTCTTATAATAAACTGGGACATATGCACGCAGGGACCACTAGCGTACAGCCATGAACTTAGGAATAAGAAAGAAAGAAGATGGATGATTGGAAAGTGGAGTGAAAAGGGAAATATTCTATCTAGGTGGAAAGATCTTCTATCTTGGCCGGGAGATACACTGGATCGGGATTTAGAACACAGGTAAGGGGAGCATACCACTGAAGGATGTTTTGCTTGACTTTACTTTCAAACAGATGCGTCATTACGATAGATAATGCTTTGTTTCTAAATGCGAGTTTTCTTTCACCAAAGGCACTTGAAAGCTATGCTCTCCTCATACAAGCATCAGTGGTCTGATATGTCTTTCCTGTCATATTATAGTTCGTCATTTGTCAGTTTCTTCCCATTGTAGTGTCGTGATGTATACATACATTAGAATAACAATGCATACATTAGAATAATTAGTTGATGGACTATAATATTAGTTGATGGACATACTTAGCTGTATGTTCTGTTATGTTCTTACGACACTAACGTTCTGTTACCTGCGACACAAAACATAATGGTCATTTATCAGTCTTGTCATTGGTCAGTCTTGCCATCCCTTTCCAACCTGAAAGTGCAAATGTAGACGCCGCTTTAAATATCTTATCCCCATATGTAAATCTGTCGCTGCTGATGCTCAATTTCCTTGCAGATACCGCAAAACCATAGGACTGCAAACAAAATTGCATTGATCAATTCATTCTCTAATTTTATCATCACAATAGCAAAAACATAAACTAATTTTGAAGCGGCAACAAGCGTTGGAGTTCATAAAATTATCGGCTTAATTGCGTGTCCTAATTACCTTTACCGCATTTTCATTAATAGTGATAAGATAACAATTAAACCATTAAAAACGTCCGAACGACTTTCCCACATACTTTTAATCGATTCATTCATGAGGATATTAAAATCTCCCGTATTGGATCACAATAAACAAACACAGTTATTACCAGGCTCAGCATCTTCGAAACCCTTACAGCTATTCCCTCGTACCTTTGGTCACAAAATTTAATTTTTAAGGTGGGGACAACCTTTTTCATCCTCATTTAAGAGACATCAAAATGCTGAGTTAAGGAAGGAGCCAAACCCAGACAGAACCCTTGCTTTTGTAGATGTTATTCCCTTTTGTGCAAATATTGAGGTTGGTTGGTTAGCGATTTTTGTTTTTCAGTCTGTATTTTCCGGCGTTATAAGTAAGATACATCTTCATAAAAGGCCATTTTTATGCGCTAGAAAACACAAAAAGGCATATCTAAGTGCCTATTTCTGTTAACGTAATTTTGCTGAGCAACGACCAACACTGCCCCAAAACATTGAAACAAAGATCACAAGAGTACATTATGGCATTACATCCTTTTCAAAGTTGCATGCCTCATATTATTCATTATCAGGATATAATTTGGTCAGTTTGGCTGCCGCATCTAACTGGCATATGTTCAATCCTGGCCTACACACAATCTTTAACAACAATGGTACTGTACTAAATGATTGTTTCATTTAAAATAATTAAGTCAAACTAAGGGGCAGACGAGACATATAATTGCTGTGAGAAAGACAGAATTGGCTGGTACTCTTCAACAGGAACTATCTATTTTGTATATGACGTCATTCTTGTAAATTATTTATTTGGTGTTATTATTCGGTTGTTTACTAAAGTGACTTTCTAGTCACGTCAAAGCTTAATACAACAATAGTATCTTAATTCATCAATTGTTTTATGGCGGTCAATAACAATACAAAAAACCTTGTGTTTATTATCACACGTGTATAGACGGCTGCGTGAGGCCATGAATCGAATAAGGGCAGAGACTCTAAAGCAACATATGTACGTCTGTAGCATAGAATCAGTTAATTACAGCTGAGAAAAATATTATCACAGGTTACGCACCAAGTGGTAGTTAGGTTTTTGGACACTGGCGTAGCTCGCAAAAATGTGCTGAATAGCAGTAAGATAATCTAGTGGCGCTAGGGAGGAGTTGGGGGCTATAGCCTCTCATTGGAGAATGTAAGCTCACCGTCGGAAAATTAGCGCATGAAAGTCTTGTACAGAAAGATTCTTGCTTCAGAAATAGGAGTTCTAAACACTTGCAAACACCAAAAAATCACTTCTTTGTTGATGATTCCTAGAAAATTTAAAAAAATATGCCGATGATCTCTTCACAGTCAAGAGAATGCTGTCCCCATGAGCAGGGCTGACATTGGCAGAGACCATGTGCATTGCTCCCCTGCTGTAAACCTCTTGAAACAGCTTTTGGAAGCCGAAAACTGCATTGACCGGCTCAATTTGAGCTTCAAGCTTTCCCTATCAAATGCTTTGGTCCTCCAAGATAGTCACACTTAATCTGAAGCTAATGCGCTCGTCTTCGTCTGCTTGACCACGTCGTTCCCATTTGTTGTGTTGGCAGGATAAATTTCGATTTAGACTAAATTCGACGGGAAAAAGCTAGGGAGGGAAATATTTTGAAAAAGGATTCTTTTGATGTATTGATATGATGTTGAAACTGTCTTTACTGCGAAACTAAAAGTGAGTTATGGGCGTTCCTTATTGGTAAAGTCGTTTTTAAGCAGTATATGATAAAAAAAAGTGAAACTGAACCGATCTTTGCTTTTGTCTGTTATGTTATTGATACTGTGATACTTTAGGAGGGCTTAGTATGGATCTTCCCTTAATGATATTGCTTCATTGAGACAAATAAGCTAGAAGGAAAACGGCAAATGCGACACATTCTACTTGATTATGGGGGTTGAAGCCCCCCAGCCCCTTAACTCTACGCCTGTGATGCTGTATTTGTTGGAAAGGAGAATCAAATCAAGCCTCACTTTATTATGTCAAGAAAAACCCCTTAGTAGAAGGAAAAAACATGGTAGAGATGAGTAGAAGAATTCAATTCATTTTGGATGGTTTTTAATGGGCTTAGGGCGGCAGCTATCATTGATGTAATGAATATTATGCAAGAATAATGCCTATTTTACAGACAACCTGCAAGAATAATCACTAATTCCAAGGCTTAAATAGTAATTTACCATGCCATTAGTTGTTGGGTTTCGTGATAAAGAGGTCCTTAAACTTAGTGTAAAGCGGCAATGTTTAATTGCTCTAATTTACGCTGTTCAGACATTCTGACGAGGACGTTTTGTGGCGGGTAAGTCCAGAGAATCGAAGGCAGCTGTAACAGCAGACATGTGCAGAAGATTGGTGGTTGGTTAGATATTGCGTGCTTTGTGAAGAAGTGTACAGAATTAACTAAAACCAAAGCGAAATGTAGGACAACAAAACAATAAAAGTGCCAGGTGCTTAAGAGAAGCGTCGAAAATAAATCATTAATACCGCATGGAATAATCCGTTCAACGGAGAATTCATTTGAAACGTAATTTCATTTTATATAGAGGATTATTACGCAAATCATCAAAATCGGGCGTTTAAAAGGAATACTCGAGAAACAAGAAAAACAAGAAAGTTTTGGGTAGTTTTGTTGATCTTTAACCTGACAAAAAGAAGTCACTTGGGGTGAAAACTTAAGTAAATTATTGGGCCTAACTTAAAATTTTTCCAATATGGAATGTCTATGATAAACTCAATGTATCTTTTCTTGGTCTACGAGAATTTGTTCTTGGGTCTTCCTGTTTTTGAACTGACTTACACTCCCCGTATTGCTATAGTGCTATGAGGATGCCTAGGAAATTGGCGAGGGAGGAAAATTTTTAGACAGAAGACTCTCCCCATTCCTCCTTTCCTCTCAATTTCCTAAGCACTGGAATTCAGGACCAAATGTCGATCAACAAAAAGTCCTTCAACAGGGACTAAATCAAGTAAAGCAAATTGGTAACGATTAAAAACTTATGGAATAAAAGGTTCTGTTTTCTCTTTTCTACTCGAAAGCTTAACGGAAGAACAGCTAGGGCAACGCACAGAGATCTTTTTGAGCAGGAAATGGAACCAAGAAAGCCTAATCATAACCATTTGCTATACTTGTCGATTCAACACATAGATCTAACACAATTTTAACCCGATCTTTCTCATCTACCACTGGACTAACGGACATTTTTTACTTCATAACAAGAAAGGTTGACTTAGCGTGTTAAATGGGCAAGGTGGAGGAATGCTTGTCTTGCAAATCAAATACCTTTGCATAAATTCCGGTTCACAGATAATATTTGTCAGTGAAAAAGGTGTCAATTATTTCACAGAAAGCATTGCACATGCGACCCTCCCTTATAAATTCTAGCTCTAAACATTTTCATAGGTGTATTAGACAACTAAGAAAAGATGTTGAGTTATCTATGTTTCAACCAATCAGGGCAATTGATTTTCATTCAAAACAACTCAATGATTTCTTGTCGTTACTATCATTTCACAGTAGCTACTTATAAACAGGAGAAGAAGCGGGGGGGGGGGGCTGAGAAGCGGAGGAGCGTCTTCTGTTGACGGTTTTGTTGTTCTGGCACCTAGGGTACTTCTTATAAGAACAATTTTCTAGCAAACTTTAATAAATTATCCATTTCTTAGTCACCCTCAAAGTACGTTATGAACTCTCTTGAAGTTTACCCAAATTATACCCTGTTTTCATTGTTTGTTGTGAAGGTTTTCGGAAACTGTATAGGGATATATTTTGATAAGAATGGTGGTATTTTTTGCTTCCATTCTCCCATAGCGCAACCAATAGACTCAAACTATGGTATGATTCCTGCTTTTAAAATGATGCCTGCAACACACAGGCAAAGCGTCGAGACATGGCTTTACAACCACATTGATCATTGCAGATGTTGAATCAAGATAACCGTTATTCATGCACGCTTTGCATTTGAAAAAACATTTATCATCCGATCAAGTCTATAATCACATTAAAGAATACATCATTTGATACACGGAGACTATCTTAAACATTTAACTCTGCGATTTTAAACTCTGTGGTCATGCTTATCCTTTTTAATCTTCGCCATCTTGAGAACATGAAATCTCCGGCTTCTTGACATCCTGCAAAAGTTTCAACCATCAACATCTGCTTTTGGTTACAGAGAAACAAATGCGAATCATGCAAAAGAGGGTTTTATGATGAGATAAAAACATGAACTGTTCTCGCCGCTTTCGACTCTGCAATGAACTGATGGGAGAGAATCATTTTTCAGGCATGCCTTCGAAAATATCTGAAAACAATAAAGATTAATAAATAAAAACAACTTTTGACTAGATTTTCAAAAGGAATGAATTTGCAAGCAGCTATCTTGAGTTGCATATGAATTGCCTAGGTTTTGTGAGAACCTCGAATCCAGTAGTTTCCTCATGTATGTTAAATTCATTTGTAAAAAAACAGGCAAGAGGAGATATTTTAAAACCGGGCCAGCTGAAAAAGTGATCGGTAAAGAGATTAACCGATGAGATGATGGGTCTTATTCCCCTCTGCTTTTCGGTTCAAGTTAGGCTAGTTGGAAAACGAGATGTTTTCAGGCAAATCGCCAAATTTCAATTTTGACTGAAAACCTCCACAAAGAAGAAACATACAGCTCTTTCCATGTTATTTTATGCCTCTAAGAAAGCTACCTGCCTAGTTATCTTTTCTCTCTCCCTCCCTTGAAACCTGTTACCTGTCCCTACCTTCTCCCTACCCTCTCCCTTCCTCTTCCTTTTCCAACCTACAACACCCCTACCTTCTCCAACCCCTGCTTGAAACTTGCAACGTCCCTGGGTTCGAGTAAACTTGAAGGTATCAAAATCATGAACTGACTTGACTTTGTTTGACACCCTGATAACGGGTTGAGTCTTTGCGATATGTGATTTGTATCCGGCTAAAACACAAAGCCGAGCAGGGGATCGCATCAAATAAACAAATTCTGTCGATTTTCGCACTTCTTGTTGTTTTTGTCGGATTCATTGCTAGCACGACATAGCTTTTTCAATATAAACAAGAGAGTGAATTGTGTGAAAAATATGCCTTTCCGAGATAGTTCTTTGGTTTCGAGCAGCTCACCTTTCTGTTGCTGCATATTCACGCGGGATACGCTTTAGGTAATAATATTCTTATTTCTATTCAATTTTTATATTTCCTCTCATAATATTTCTTCTTTGAGTTTGTTTTCCATTGGTTGGTGTCTAGGCCTTGAGCCTTTCTCAGTCATATTTTGCTTCTCAGTGTTTTATAGCAGGGCGGTGCGCTGAAGACCGCAAATGCGCTGATTATTGTTTCTGGTAATTTTTTCAATAAAAAATGCGCTAAACTTTTCAGCAAACAAGCCTTAATTTATTATTTTATTTGTATATTACTAAAGGCCTTTTAACAAGAATGACAAAGCAGCCGTTTCCTTTCCAGGTTCATTGAATGAAATGAGTGAAAGTTCAAATTCGCCGGGTCGCCAGACCCACCTGATCTCGCGGTTTAAAGTCCCGAATCCAAATGGACCAAATATGGCGGAATATGTTGTAAGTTTGTTAACCTTTATAAAAATACCTCTCATCTTTTGATACCATGTACCTAAAAGCAACATTACTGATTTCCATTACTTTTAAACTAACTCCAGAGTAGCCAAACATATCGCATTTCCATACAAAGCCCAGAGAAGGCTCATCTTTCCACTGACGAATTTTGAAACATATGGTAGAAGGCATTATTTGGGTGTGTTAAGTAATATTTGTTGGTTCCGAGCAATCTATTTCACAGTTCCCTTGTATGGAACCGCTATATTGCTAGTTTCTGCTCTAATACCCTGTTCTTTAGGCCGTATTTTACATATAATTACACTCTTTTTTGTAAGAACCCGTAAATTTAAGTTCAGGCCGACAATTAAAACCTTTTTCGAAAAACTGAGGCTGGACTGTTCTTAATTTGTTCTTAAGTTAATAGGGTGTAAGCAGCACAATTGCTAGTTTTTATGCTATAGGGAGGCGTTCAGGCCTGATTTGCTAACAAAGTGAGTGATACAACCGTCATTTGCCGACAAGTTTGAATATCCCCGAAAAAGCACCCACACAAGGCTAAAAGTCCTCGTTTTTGAGATAAGACGTTGTTCAAAATAGCATGTTACAGTAGATCAGCCTCAACTTGTTCTTAATTTGCTTTTAACTTTTGACCAATTTGAGGCTCGTGTATAAAAATAGAGTGTAATAATCGGCGTTTTTACCTGACATGCACCACCGTTGTGGACTCGGAGAATAAGCCTAAGCATCGATTTATTCAAAATCTTCTTGTCGCCAACAGCGAGCTTTTCGATAGTAATGGAGTGAACATTGGTGGAAGATCCAACCTTGATTGAAAAAGAACAGCGTTCTTTCCAAAATTGTTCACCATCGCCTTTGTTTCCAATCTTAAGAAATGGCAAGAACAAGGGCGTGTGACATCGACCGTTAGTAAAATCAAAGAAAATACAAAGATGGGGATATAGCCAAAAAATCGCTGCACTTATGGGCAGGACTATCTTAATTCCCACGCGAGACTTGGGTTTACTAAATACAAAACAGCGATTTTACCATACAATCTCATATATTATCCTTCGTATTAAATTATCGTAAGCTTCCTATGAATATGCATCTCTTATAGTGCAAGATTATTTCGTACAAAGCTGTTCCTGAGATATTTAGGCTGTTTTTATGTAAACTTAATTCCAGTTGGATCTATTCACTGAGTGCTAGCAAAAGCTAGTTGCTTGGATTTATCGTGCATTTGTTTGACATAACTGAGTGCCAGTCGCTGGTTTTTGTGGGTAAAATTTTATCCCCATTCCCTCCTCTCGTTTAAATGAACAAATTGCAATTCAAAAGCCTCAAACCTATTGAAACTGGTTTGAATCTATGCTCTGGGACAAAACTTTGATAAGAGAGAATGGTGTACCAAAACCTGAGTCCATAAAAATGCTAATTTCCTAGTATCCACGCAATACTGTTACTGGCAACCATCCCAGGATAAATTAAGGCCGTATTTGGGTGTACTACTTCAGTTTCTTCAGCTTTTACTGGCCTTCCTGCAAGTGAAAGTCTCTCAGGGGTTTTGGAAGCATTTCCATTCAACGAGAACACGGGAACATTGGTCGTTTTTTCAAAGAGAACCCGGCAACAAGTACCCCCCGCCCCCCTCAGGAGACCCTTCCAAGTCGTTGACCTTCTTATTATCATGTCTTCACTGTTTTGGCCGAGTCATAGAATGATGGCAAAAGTTTGCATCAACAGTAAAGACTGAAAAGTTGAAACAAAAATTCTGCAAAGCAAATTTTATTCCAAAAATTTATTTGTATTTCATTTCAAGACGAAGTAGTGGAAAACTGACAACATAAGCTTTGAAGCTGATTTTCACATTTCCAAATTTTTGCCTGCTAAAACTACGATGCGGGCAAATGACGGTTATTGAAACAAAATTCAATGGCTATGTACACTGGCAGCATATGGCAGCCTGGATTTAGTATTGACCTCTCGACTATCTATCCTCTTGTAATTCAAGAAATTTTATATTGCTCCCCAAGTACCTATATCCGCTGACGAAAATCTGACAGAAAAGTTCCATTACCTCCAAGGAATCTTTGTTGCTTTCCTGCCACGATTCTATACGGGCGAAATGACCTGTTTTTCTAACTCTTTCCCTTTTAATGAGATTTTTAGGCATATTGACATCATACTGACGTCACTGTAGCTGTGTAGCAGAAACCTGCATCGCAGCGTTGACCTTACATTTTTCCACGCTTCTGTAAATCCTGTGACTAATTGCAATTGGCATAGAAATACTAAATTAGGATTTTGCTTCACAGCAATAAATTAATTTATAATTCAAGAATAACAAGATTGTTTTCATTTAAATTGTGATTTAATTATCATTTAGATTGTTGCAATAAAACTTGCAGAACAGGCATTTGCGGTTTACCGTCCTCAATTAATGTATTTATTGAGAATGTTATGTTTTTCATTTTATACTTGAAAACAATCAAGCAAAACCAGTAATCAAATTAAAGAATTCTGAAGATAACCAAAGCGCCTTGTTTTTGTTTTCCCAATTTTTGTAAATAAATTTGCACTTTTTTCTTAAAATTCGGAAGATTCGAATGACTATTTTGTAGTTATATATGGCTATTTTATATAGTTAAATAAGACTATTTTGTAGTTTTATATGGCCAAATGCAGACTCGATAACATATACCCGTAGTTAAAATGGTCAGAACTCAGATATGAAATATGGATGTGAAACCCTTTTGGTGTGAATACGAAAGAAAATTATTCTAAAAAAGAATGTAAAATAAAGAATAAGCAGATCTAGACCACGTGCTTGTATAGCAGTTATACAGTGTATAACGCTAGCATTCTCACATACAGCTAGATCCAGTGCATCCGGTTTTATTTAAAACAGGTTTGAATTTCTATAACGTCACACGATCGTGATAGACGGAACACAGATCGATTGTGGTGTTACGATACTTCAAGTCTGTGCGAAGCTTGTTTCATTTTGATTGCAAAGCATAATCTTATATCTTAGCAACAAATGAAATATTTATGATTTTTCGTGATTGGTCGGTTTAGACCGGTTGTTGCCCTCATCAGCAGATGGTGTTCGGATCGAATGCATGGCTTGATGCGAAATATGTAACTTTTCTCTTTATAATTTGCAGAAAAACTGTGAAAAATTTCGCATTCAGTCACTACACTACGCTGGATCATAAATTTCCCAGATTTCGGCTGTGAAACGAGGCTCTGTAATGGAGCTTGAGCCTATTGCGGTTTTCAAACCACCAGACTTTCTTATCAATAAACATTGCATGTAACAGTATCACACTGGGCACCATGCTTCATTCCCACACCCCTCAAAAAACTTGCAGTTACGATAGAGCCTATTCAGTTTCAAGGCACTCATTCTCATGTTGTGTCGGGTGTTAAACAATGTTTAATTATCAAGACTCAGTGACACGTTTTTTCTATACGTATGTTTGAATGAGTAAATATACTTATTTCATGTTCCTTATGATCCCCCACCCCCTCGCCCTAATGTAATGGAGCAGGGACTTCGAAGCCTGTGTAGCAGAGCGGAATGAAGGGTTGGCAAAGAGAGAGGGAGCACCTGGTAGATGAGGGTCAGCTTGACTTAGCAATTGATACTGATCTGACTTTAAACATTCCAGTTATGACAGATTGTAGACACTTGAGTAGTGGATTTTTAAATTATGCCTTACATTGTCGTCTGTAATGTTACCACATTCTGCGACCTTATCCGCCCTTTTTCGACCTTATCTGACCTTGCCCGACTTTGTCCGACTTTGTTCGACCTTGTCTGAGCTGATCTTATTGCCAATAAATAACATATACCAATAACATATTTGCAACGAACCTGCACATCATTTTTAGAGAATACGTTAAAGCCCAACACAAATAACAAATAACAAACATTCACTAGACACAAGCGAAGTTGTTTGAAAGAGTCAGGTAAATCATATCAGATTCAGAACAATGAAGATGTCCGAGAAGTGCTACAAAGTTCTCTTCCTTGCAATGCAGGGCCCACGCCACCAGGAGGGGGGGCGGGGTGGCCATGCCCTCACTTTTTTGCATGGCAGTAAAGTTCCTTGACCCTCTTTTTTCTAGCCTTGCCCCCCCCCCCCACTTTCAAATTCGTGGCGTGGGCCTTGCTATGTATTTACTCTAATTAACTCCAAGAAAATTCAATTCAAATTGTACAAAATTGCTGGGGAACAATTCCAATCCGTAAATCTTCTCAGGTGTGTTTTAATTGCACTAGTATCATAAAAAAGAAAAGTATTGTGAAATTGTCAGTTTAAATCTGCATGTAATTACCTTTGGTGTTGAAATAGCTCTAATTTCTAAGGTTGTCTCTAGTATATTAAGCAGTCTTAAATGTATTGAAATATTTTCAATCGTGAAATTCTCACCGGAGTACCAAGCTTGATCCAAGCACAGAAAGAATTGTTTTATATGTTTCTTCTGAAACAGTGAAGAGCCTAAATAGGCACGTCCTTCATTGTGACGAAATGGGAACATTACCAAAGTTTTTTGTCGTTAGTCCACAAAAGACCGTGTACAATTGGCAGTAAATAAGCAATTAAGTAGGCGTATGATTGGTTTCTGTTGTCACTTTTTCTGATTAGCATTGAAAAGCATTGTTTGATGAACAGTATAAGAGAGTCAGTTGGGAATCAATTGATTCATAGTAAATGATCTAACTGATTCTGGAGAGTACGAATTAAACCAATTCGTTAAAATGAAACATTTGATAGAGTCGGATGGAAAGGTGAGTGATCTATCAAACTGTAGGCCAGTTGTCCGTGTAGCGAGTTACGCAAAATCGTGCAAATAACGCTGGATAACAAGTAGAGACATTGAAGTGTTAGTAGCAGGTAGGGTAGCGGGTTTTACTACTAGGGAAAAGGAGATCTCCAAGGGTGCCCAATCTTCATTGCACCCATACACAAATGGTCTATAAACTTTCACATTAAATTTCAGAGTGTTTATAACTTTCCATCCAAACAGCTCCTAATCGAAACCTTTGATTATTTCTGTGATTATAGAACGCTTTCTATGAGTTTGTTTATCACAGGGATGTGTTTGTCTGCTGGTAGTTAGATTATTTTCATTTTTGTTAAAACAAAAATTTTTTTTTCAGTATGAAGATCTTTCGGCAATGAACCCTTCGTTGAGGGAAACGTGGTTATCAGAACAATGCGCATCATTTGAGAACGAAAACAAAAATTACTTCTACGTCGAAAAGGAGACTTACATCGAAAGCCTTTACAAATACTTGAGAAAAGTCACGAAAAGATGGTCTTCTTGGAATCATAAATCGTTTGGGCCTATTACATCTAGAGAGTGAGTTATAATGTTGCTTTCTAATTTTTGTTCTTTGACTCCTAAGATATTCGCCAAATTGGTAAAACTAGCACTAGAGATTCAATTTGCTCAGTTGATTGTGTGGATGGCATATAAGTGGGATTGTGTAAGAAGATACATAATTTGATTTTTGTGAAGTCTATCACTGTATAAAAGTTTATATTATTTCATTAAAGATAAAAATTTCTTCTTGCTATGTATATGAATAACACAGCATATGGGAGGATTTTGCGCTTTGTATTGTGTGGCAAGCATAGTGGATTTCCGAACCGCTTGTTTTAGCAGGCATTTCTTTTCAACTTCAAAGTCAAACCGGATTGGGGAGGGGAGATGGTCGAAAAGAACGCCAGCCTCGTGGACTATCTTTGTTTTAAAAGCTACGCTTTTTAGTAAAAATATAGTTATATATTTTATTAAATTCCGAAATTGTCACTTTTCTATTATATGAAACTTTTGGCTTGTTTTCAAAGCACCTTTCATAATAAGCTGTATTTTTCGACTTTAGCCAAATAAGAGAGCTGCTGAAATGGGAACGGTCCCGCGGATTTCGTCATCACTCAGGCCATAACCGTAACCGTGGAACAAGTTCTTCGTCTGAGCAAGATATTGAAGCAAATCCGCTAGAGAAATTCGAGACATTTTGTTCTTGCTCAGAAAATCTATTACTGGTTTTCAAGAGAGACATTTACAAGCCCTTGACTGAGTATTTCTTGGATTCAAATACGAAAGTGACATTGCAAGAAATTCCTGAGAACCTGGCGTCGTGTATTAGCAAATGGGAAACCCTGCTGGAATCAAAGGAGATTGATGATAAACTGTTTAGTAAGGAGAGCGAAAAGGAGATATTTATGAATGGTTTGAGAAACAGAACGTCAGAGAATGATCTCGTGCTAAGACTAGTACCAGACCTCTTTGAAAAGCACGTTGAAGCGTTGAAGCTTGCACGTCGGTGGAGGCTTATTGTTAGGGCAAGCGATATTAAGCGAAGGGGTACGTTCACTGTAGCTATGCCACAAGCGGTAAAGCTTCTGAAGCGACGTGAAGAAATACAGAGATCGATGAGAACAAGAAGCCGCAGAAAGAACTCTATGGAAAGCAACGCAAATAGCAGTGATGCGGAGTCTCATAACAATGAAGAGGCGCAGGAGCGATACAGGAAGGTTCTGAATGAGCTTGAGGATACAAAGGCAACCTGTCTGTTGTATGAAGATGAGATATCTGTTTATAAGGAAGATTATGATCAAATGAGACGAGAGTTAAGTTCGGTCAAAGACACTTGCAAGGAGCTGCATGCAAAGATCACGGAACCAAGATTGCAGGACCGCATCGAATCGCCCGAGGTGGAAGAGAGTTCAGCAGAGTACTGTAGAGTCTTGAAAAAAGAACTTGACCACACTAAGATGAAATACTGTTCACAGAGGATCAAACTTATGAACGCGAAAAAACGAGTAGAAAATCTCAACATGCAGCTTACACAGGCTCAGCAAAAGTACGGTCAATTGGAAGATGAGATGCAAGGAGCACGTGGCAAATATGGAAAGCTCGAAGATCAGCTAACCATTTCACGCAGAAATCTACAGACTCAAGGAAGTATGATAGATGCACTACAGCATCAATGCAAGACTTTGTATGACGAGTTAGAGAAAACGAATGAACGCTGCAAGACAATGGAGGGTGACCTCACGTTATCAAAGAAACGATGCAAGGACTTAGAGCATGATGTACATAGGAGGATATCCAGAGAAGAAGAGCTGGAGAAAGAAAACCGATTTTTAAGAGAAAAGCACATCAAGGGTATGACTGCATGTGTATTGTATTTGGTAGTTAAAAATACTCCTACCATAGGTGTTGAATTTCACCTTTCCCATGGGTAGTTTACGACACGACTCGAAATATTAGGATAATAGAAAAGAAACTTCTTAACAATTGCAAAATACTATTAATATCACTCGATCTCATCGAATGATTTCATTGACTGAGACCATCTGCTGCCATTTTGCTTTATTAGAAAGCTTCCATGAGTGACTGACTACTGTGCCCCCTCTCACTTTGTCGCGGCTTGAAGCCATTTATTCCCTTGCATCTTACTGCATTCCTGGGTTTCCTTCAATTAATTTTACTTTTTTGCTCTTTTTGTCGTTCTATGATTGATACAGTTAAACAATTTCAAGTAATTTACGAAATCATGCAGAATTACGTTATTAATAATCTGGGCTATTTTTCAGGAAAAGAAAGAAAACAGGCGGCAAAGACTGAATGCATGTTTCCTGAAATAAACAGAGGTGAGTTTATCAATTGTGTTTCTTCTCAACTGTTTCTCTCAAAACGTTTATGTCTGCGTCAAATTTGGAGGTTTCCAGATATATTGACAACTTCTTGGCAACCAAATGAAAACAGCCGTTTTCGCTTGAGGGAAAGGAGCGATTAACCCGATATCATTCAAGACCACAATATAATTTTACATATATCATAAAAAGCCCGAAAGACATCAGTCCAGACTTTACTCTGACCAGGTCATGTGACTAGAAACTTGTTAGCGTGGGATGGCAAGAAGGCTGTTTAGTTCATGCCCTCGAAAGTTGATGAATGCCGAATTTTCATCTGCGTGAAAAATTCTAACGCTTTAGATAGGAGATAATACACGCGTGTTAACAATACGTGTAAAACACCTTTTCCATTTCGTTGTCAGTAAGCACCTGGAACTGAAAGCAGATGATTTTAAATATGATACTGTTGATCATCGTATATTCATTGATTTTGATTGAGTCATTTAAACCTCATAAACATGTCCTGGAGAAGTCCAATCATTCTTTTGCTGCATGTCTTGCTTATACTTGCATCTTACCACAAAATGTCAGCCTGAACAATTCCTTGCCTCAATTTACTCCCTTGTTTAGTTGCAAATATAAATATATTTATTATATCCTCTGATATTTCCCTTCAAAACGAACTCTCCATCTTCTAAAGCTGAGTGGTTTTGTCTCGGCAAGCTCAGTAAAATTTCAATAACAATTATTAAGCTACTTTTCTTTTTCCATTTTTGTCAAAATATCCGACTTAATAAATATTTGTAGTTATTACAAGAAATCTAACGAAGAATTCTCATTATTTTCAGGTCGCTCTTCGTAGTGCAAAATCAATGAATTGTAAAGCTACTCCAAGACTGATGATGCAATCTTGATGCTCTAGCAAAGAAATTAAAAATAACTCATACGAACAAAACACCGTGAATTGACCTATGTTTAAAGTTTCAAACTTACTAGTTGACTTCTAATACGACTGGAACCAATTTCCCCACATGCCTTTTGCTCCAGCTTTTAAAAACAATCGAAAATTTATCTTATAATAAGTGTCTATATTGTTATACTTTTTTACCAACGATGAGCATCACCGTGTTATGATAACTGATGGACCAAAAACAATTGAAAATCATTCTATACTAAAACGTCCCTTCTTTCCATTTCGAATGCATTATCCACTATCGCATTGAAAAATTATCATTCTTAAGTTTTCTTAAGTATTAGATGAAAGCCCAACATCGGGTAAAAGTTAGTGTACCATGTAAATGAAACAAACTGTTAATTTCAAGTCTTAAAATTGTCATTAAATTTGATAGTATTTATAAAATATCTTTTGTTGATATTGCCCTAGATAGTAATTTCTTTATTAATTTAAAATCTTTTAATGTCAGAGCTTGAAAGAATATTTATATATGAATTTGTACATAGTTGAATTTTTCATGTTAAATTTGAGTTAACATCATTCAAGTGGTTTTTTTAAACTCTCCTGCAAAAACTCCTCTTTTCTGCAATTCATTCGCAGCATGGTAAATTTGGGATAGAATCGTGAATACTTTTACCACCCTTTACCTTTACCACCCATTGCCTTTACCACAAATTAATGTTTAGTTTTGTGGAAAATGCAAATAGAAAAAGAATCCTTCGTTGCACCCAGCCATTTCTTAACTTGCACAAAGAACATTACCGTTAAAAAAAGAGCTTTATTTTAGTGTAAGTTATTTTTCACATGTTTGTGATAATTTGTGTCTGCCTGATTATACGTTCAATTTTGGAATAGAATATTTACCAACAGAAACAATATGACGATCTAGTTAAAGGCTATCAAGAATATATCAACAGGAAAATGATAGAGTTTAGCTTCTGATAAAAGAAAAGGCTTTGTCTCTAATTGATTACTAATTATCTGTGTTGCTGTCTGGGTTGAAGCTAACAGCAGTCTGTGTTTTCAGTTATTCTACAATTATATCAAGTTCATTTAGTTTAAATTATCAGGGACATAAAAAGTTTTGGGGCCAAGTCTCTTAAAATGCAGCGACTGTGCAAGATCTCCGTGTAAAGACTTACATTGAGGTTCGATTTTCAGACTCTTGAAAGCTTTAGAAGTCATACGTTTTAAGGAAATTAAACAGGACAGGATAATAGTCATAAATTGTCAAAAGCTCTTACGATTTAAAACGAGTTACCATTATTTAAAGGGTTTAACTAAATTCATTTGACATTTGTTTATATAGATTTCTAGAAATCGAAAAAAGGTCTATTACATTTGTGTATCCTACATTCTTACCCTACTGCTGTCTGATTTAGTCCTTGTGCGTAAGACAAACTTTTGTCTTCTGAAAGACCTACCTCAAAAAGGGTTAAAGACATGAAGTTCTCTACCTTTTTCTATGGTGAAATAAAGCCATGAATGCAAAATGGACAAACCTGTATTTGATTCTAGATTTAAACAATATAAACAGATGACCTTTCTATGACGACAGTTGCAAATTCCCTTGTCGCTCAGATTTCAAGGACTAAGATAATCGGAAGATTTTTAAACGGACCAAGCTATAGCTTTCTTGCATTATTAAAAAAGTTTGACCTCGTTGATTAAATCATTTATGAATTTTTGCAAATACTTTCTTCTTAACTTCTTAACACTGTGAGGGGTTAGAAAATTGAGGCCACCAGCCAAAACATTCTTATTACTAAGTCCTTGAGAGCGTTTGCTGCGTTTTGTCCAACAGAAAAACTTTTTCTAACACATAGGGTATATTGAATCAAGGAAGGCGTTAATAATAGAAGTTGTTAATAAGTTATCTGGACAATGAAAGCCTTCAAACTCTGGAGCTTATTGTTTGTTTTCAAAAAATACTGATTTTTTATTTCATTGGAATATAACAAAGTAAGTGAAAATGTTTATTTTATCTTTACTTTGGATGCTGTCGAATCCTGTTATAAATTTTTCAATTCATTGATTCTGAATTTCTGGGTTGCAGAAAACAGAAGAATGTTTAAAAATGGGGGGGGGGTGGTTTATTTTCGCTTGACATAGCAGAAAGCAGAAAATGCCTTAGGCCCTTTAAAAAACAAAAGAGTGAAGAAAGTATAGGCAGCATGGACCTAAGTGTATTTGTACTGGGGCAGTATTTGAAACTACAGGTTTTTTCTGACCAATGCAAAACACGTCGTGACCACTACCCTATAACCATAAATTTGATACAAACTATTCTGTTGAAACTGACACTAAGGTTTTTCAATCGAAATGATCATACCTACTCTATTTTACGATAAATGAAATTGAATGAGGTTTTTTGGTTCATAGAGCTTTTTAAGCTAAATATATCATGATGGGAAGAAAAATTCTTTATGGCCACGAAAAATTAACCTTTTATTCAAATACAGAAATTCTTACAACAACATTCAAATATATTAAGCCCTCAGAAGGGTTTCAGTAAATAGCTCCTAGAATTAATTTCTCTTATGTAATTTGTCTTTCCATATCTTTGTTTTATTAGTGTAGAATGTTTACTCGACAACTGTAAGTGTTATTTGCTAGGTGTAATCTTTTTTATGTAATTTTAACTTAATTAAAGTAAATTTGTTTAATGCAATGGTCACAGAGTTATTATGCATGCTCCCTTTGCATCGTCTTGCAGTATGTTGTTTGTAAAATTTCATAGGAATGGAGAAAAGTTAAGAAAGTAAAGTAACTACCATGATGCACTATTTTAAGGGGGTTTTACAACGCTACTCAAAGTCACAAGCTCAGCCTCATCTTGCTCTTAACTTGTTCTGAACTATTGTCCAATTTTGAGGTTTGTTCTTTCATAAAATTGTTCTTGTAAAAAAAACAGTGTATCCCCTATTTAGCATAAAGGCAGTTTTTGATTTACAATGAAATCTCGAGAGAATGAAATGCAGCTTTGACTTATGCCAAACAGTAGCATCAAAAGTCTATGTGTGTAAATGCGTGATTCAAAATTGTGTTTTCTGGTCTGCTAGTATAAAAGAAAGGTGCAACTTCTTCAAAGTGGTGGAGTTGCGAAGGAGGCAAATTTTCCAAATGGTGATGAGATGCTGTCTTTAGCTTCAAGATGACATTATACTCCATTATAAGGCCAATAGAAAACACATTTTCTTGACTAGAACTCTTCTTCTATATCAAAAATTGGAAATTGGCCTTGGCACCGACATGATAGGTACTAGCCAGTAGTCATTGATGTTTTCGATTTTGAAATTCAAGTGTCCCTGGCTTCAAACATCTGCCAAACCTGATAGCAATTTAGTATGTTGGTGGTTTTAATTCCGTTCTTATTTTGGGTATCATGCTTTCTTTTTCACAGTACTACGGTCTTATCTTGCATCGGCCACTCAGAAGCTCCTCTCATTTATTCTACAAAATCTTTGACCTTACAAAATCACAACAACTCTGTTGACATGATAACTTAAATACTGCATATTGAACAAACGGTGTATTGCGTGATCAAAGAGACATGTAGATCTTCATGATAAAACCTAGTAAAATTTAATTAGCTTTCTAAGAGCTCATAGCCAGCAGCTGTGATTAGAAACAATTTTTCCATAGAATGTTTTACCGTTATTAAATACTCAACATGATTATTGAATTCTGTTCTCAAATTACTTTCTTGTAAGGGGTAAGAGCGACGCTTAAGTTATTGATTCGGTGGGTGGGAGGAACCTATATGTTTGATTGTTTGATAAACTCTATCGTTCTTTACCCTAACCCTAACTCTAACCCTTATCACGAAAGTTTATAGGTTTCAAAATTGTCCAAGATAGAGGCCATCCAATGTTCCGATTAGCCTCGTACTGACAAATGTACGGAGATTCACCTTCGTCCAATCAGAAGTGAGGACAGAACAATAATGGTTTGTGTTTCTTGCGGAGAAATTTCTGACTTGATTTGAAGAAATTTGAGAGTAGTTCGGATGCAGCGAAGTCCACGATGGGCCCACGGCTTTGATTTACTGCAAAATAAAGCACAATTTTAGCGACCATCTTTTCTTGCAAAAATGTCTGGAGCAAGCAACGGAAAGGCAAAATTCGCAAGTTTGCTTCTCTTGTTTCAAGGGATTTTGCTCATTCTATTTGTCGTTTTTGTGGACTACGGTGATGAGCTGTTACCATCGGACCCTGGCAGGTTGAAGAAAGTAAAAACTAGAGAACTTGGAGGTAATGTGACTGATTTGTCGTGCAAATTTATTTTTAAAGGTAAATTGTGGCATTACAAACTGTCGCTTGTATAGTTTAGGCCCTATGTTTGGGGTCAAGTCAGGTGATCTTCAGCATGGATATTGTGTGCAAACTTTTGTTTAAACAAGCGGAATTACGTAGATACAATTGTCCCAACAGCAATACAGACTTGAACTTTCAACTTTATTTAAAGTTTAGAATAGTGATAGTAAAAAAACATCACGCTGAATGTGTATTTCCAAATGATGTAGGCATTTCTTGAGTTCTTCCTTGCCGGTAAAAAAATTGTTAGGTACCCCTGGAGCAACCCCAGATGTTTCCAATCAAAAGTGAGGACATTACACCTCGAGTGGTCGAATCATAAGTCTTTGTCGTTAACTTTTCATGTTTTCTCGCCATCTTTACAGTTGTTCTTTCTTGTCCCTTGTCCAGTTGAGAGAAGACCTGTTTATTCCAACGATACTTGGCATAAACCAGTTTTCTAGTCAGGTGCGACAGGGCAAAGTAATGAAAAGATATTCCACACCTTTCTGTTTAAACATTAGCCTTGGATTTATTTAAATCAAAATATATTCGCGAATACTAATAGCAAAATATTCGCAATACCGCAACTTCAATCTTTTCAGTTTGGAGAAGTTTTTCGCCACTAAAATTGACTTTTGTTTTTAAACAAGTCCTAGCTGTTTTGTTGTTTCTAGTTTTGTGTTTTGAACAATGTCTCTCGTTTTATATTTGATTATTAATTTTTGCCCCATATTTGTGTTTATTCTCAAGTTCATATGCACAGTAAAGAGTTTTGCCAAGATCATAGTTCGGTTGGACCGATAAATCTGTCTAATATTATGTTTTTCTGCATAAGCTTAGCCTTTCAAAATAGGTTCAAAATTTTATAATAGAGCAGAAAATTTGTGCAACACACGTATGTCTTCTTCATAAGGCACTGATTAAAAATGAAAATTCAGATAACAACCAAAAGGTGGACATAATTTTTTATTAAAGTGCTTTGGAAAATAAATCAAGTGAAAGAAGGATGCTCTTGATTTTTACAGGAGGGAGGGGTGGCTTGCCAGTATTTATGAGCCCAAAAAAGTTGCCATAAAGAATTTGCAACAAAATTTCTCAAAAAAGTATTTTGATCCAAGCTTTACATATGATGAAAATTTATCCCTGAAATTTATGTTATGTAAAGCACCATCCAAAATGCAAGCAAGTTTCTAAACAAAGTGATGACCTGTTTCTCACTCTGTTAGTCACTCTGTTAATCGAGCTCCTTATGATCTGGGGTCAATAGAGTCTCTTTCAATGAGAGGTCTGGTATGTGTCTATAATCTTTAAATTTCTAAATGCATGACAACGCAGATTCAAATGTCAGACAATTATTCATTTGTATTTCATTATGACCCATGCTAGACAGACTTCCATTTGATGAAAAATACTTGAAGGAAATATTCTCTGTTGCAAGAGTAATCATTTGCTTAATAAAAAGCTCCCCAAATGTTATCGAAATTATTATTACTATTATTAAAACATTATTTACAATTGGTTAAAAATAATGATAGTTCTAACTTGAATTAATTAAGCTTGAATAGAGGGTAAGAATGGTAAATAAAACTCACACAAATGTGGGGATTGTGTTACTTGCTCCTCAATCACTGTCAGACATTTTTAAAACATTTTCTTAATTGATATTTCAGTTTTTCAAGATATACATCTATTGGCACTTCTTGGTTTTGGTCTTATATTAACATTTCTCAAGAGGTACACAAAAGGGAGTATGGTTCATTCATTCCTCATTGTTGGCGTGGTTGTGCAATGGGCAACTCTGCTTCAAGGATTTTTTAAAATGGAAAGGAGTAAAGTTCTCCTGACCATTGATAGGTATGTGTTTTCTGCATTTGTTGATTTAGTTTAGATGGGCTTTTCAAATATCATAAAACAAACAAAGCACAGTTTGAGAACATTCTGGATATGTATGCTGGATACGTATGCTGGATCCTTCTAAGAAGAAGTAATAAGGATATTCCTTGTCTCCATTTGGGCAGTGCTGTCTCAGTGGTGTCTCATTGTTGTCTCATTGCTGTCTCATTGCTATGCCGTCAGGCCAAACTGGTGCACAAATCTTGAAAGATGAGGTGCATGGGGCTCTGAAGCAAATGAAGACAGGGAAAGCCCCAGGTCCGGACGGAGACTACCTCAAGATGCTTCTGGCCAGTGGCGAAGACAAAGGTCTTCTGGCCACAAATTTCCAAAGATAACAATTTTTGAAATAAGAAAACTTGATTATTTGCCTGATTCAATGGCATTTCTTGTCTTATTCTACACTTATACTTTGTGGCTGTGCCTTTTTTCAATTTTGAGACACAGGGAGACTGGAATAGAATTTTGAGTAGCCCGTTGGTAAGTAGCCTGGGCCGCAGACCCAATGGAGGATTGGGTCTGCGGCGCAGGCTAGTTGGTAAGTTGATATTGTCTAAAATTTAGCCCTGTGGCCAGTCCTGCCCAATACTTGTAGGCAGGACTAAACCCTGTGTTTGATCCTGTCCAACAATGGGCAAATGCCCCATAGCCCTGTTTTTGGTCCTGCCTCACAATAGAAGAAAACGATGGCACTCCTGTCCTTCAGAAATGGCAGGACCTCAGGTCCTGCTCATTCATGAAGGCAGGCTCTAGACTTTTGGAGCCCTATGTTTCAGTATAATTTTTTTAGTTTCTGTGCCATGCGTGGTCACAAAGAATATTCACTCAGGCCATAGTCAGGCTTTCCTTAGTCATGATCAAACTAACTGTAACGAAGACATCTTGATTCTGCTGCTGAAGGAGTTTTTGCTGCTAGAACCTTCAGGCAGGAAAGGCTTACACTGTCATCACTTGATTTATACAAGAATCCATCGTTTCAAGACGAGTGATACTTATGGAAATCAAATTGTTTAGAATCATTCTGTTGGTCCTATTTACTGTTCAAGTCAGGAATATCACAGACATGGTGCAAAACCTGACATTCATATATATGTCTCTCAGACTGCAGAGAGCAAGGAAAGTCATATTCAAAGGCCTGATCATAAACAGTAGAAAAAGTTTGCCGCTGCCACTGAGAGAGAATCTTTGTTTTTTTGTACCAGGAAAATCGAGATGGAGGGGAGATGGAGTGTGCATGACAGAAAAAGGGCTTGCTTAATTTTAATTTCAGCAGTTTCTCATCCTGTCTTAACAGTTACAATCAAACAACTCAGAGGTCCCGATGAAAAGGATGCCTGCTTAAACAATGGTAATTACTGGGAGCTTTTGTGACTCAGATTGTATTGTACGGGCAAAATGTCAGGGGTCTCCTCTGATGTTCAAAACAAATTAATTCAAGACCCTATCCACCATGCATCAGACCTATCCATGTTGTGACAAAATATTTTTACTCGTTAGATAATTTGCATCAATTATGTTTCCCATGTGTATTACAACACTGTATATGCCTATTTGTACAAGCAATTTCTTTTTAGTTAATGATTTAAAAAATTTTCAACTAATACTTATTTTAGAAAGAATTTTTGTGATGCTCTTTTGACTTCTTCAATGTAAGGCAGGAGGAACTTGAAAGGATCCAAAAAGGATCAGAACCCTCCTCCCCTTTTTTCCAGAATGTGGCAGTGTAAAATGTTTCACTGCAATCTTGATTTCAACATTTCCAGATGGGCGTTTCCTCCTTTTCCGAGGGTCTTTAGGGCGTGGCATCACACAATTTTTCTGGGTGATGTCACCTTTGAGCAGGACCACCTGTTCTTGGTTAGCTTCACCACTGTTTCTGCCCTTATATGAGGAAGGGATTGACATGCTTTAGCAGCTCTGTGATGGAATCTACAAACAGGAATGTTTTCAAAAGAGATGCTACTGTCGATCTCCATCACACTGCCCAAGCTACCATGCACATTAGGCTGCTCAAACCACTGCACCAGAAGTCTCAGAAGTTAAATCCTGAAAATTTTGTTCAAGATCGGCTTCCAAAGGATAAAATGTCAACTATTCCCACAAATACCAGGACAACAATATGTCTTTATGAAAGACAGAGGCCCAAGAAATGCTCAGTAAGAAGTCAATCCAAAAACAACAGGACATTAGCCTTTAATTGACTTTTCCAAGGATTTTGATAAGGTTCGAACCTTTCGTTACATTGGGCTCTTCAAAATGCTAGAGAAGATCAAAATAGATGAGAAAGATACGAGAGTGCTACAGAACCTTTATAAACAACATACTGCAGCTGTTCGGATGCCTGGTGGAATCACAGAGAAGTCAGACAGGGCTGTGTTGGCTTGTCTGACCTGTTCAATCTCTACAGTGAAGTGATTCTACATTTGTTGAAAGTAGTAACAGAAGGCATCAAGATCAGCACCGTCCATCTGAACAACATCCATATGATCTTACTGGCTAGTTCAGGTGAAGGCCTACAGTGGCTTTTGGACAGGCTCACCCTAGAAAGCGGACGCTACAGCCTCTTTATCCATGCCAAGAAAACAACATGCACGGTCTTATCTAAATCTGACCATGAGCCAGCTTGCACATTGAAGCAGGGAATAACAGAGATCGAATTATCTTAGTGTCCTCCGTTTAATCTTGGTGCTCTTATTACCTCCAACAGCCAAACTAAGAAAGAAATCTTCTCATATTCTACATATAGTTGATACTAATGTATGGTTGCGAATCATGGAATTTCACTGCTGAAACCCAGCACAATGTAGAGGCTGCTGGAATGTGGTTTTACTGACGCATGTTGCAACATGCTGAAGATTTCCTATGTGGATAGAGTAGCCAGTGACAAAGTATTTGCTCACAGTCTCCTTGGCCATATTATTCACAAATAGTCACTCGAAGATCCACCGGCAGGACCGGAGGATAAAAGGGGGTCAAAGGAAGACCTTTCTGGACAATTTCCTGTAGGCAACAGCACAGGAGATTTGGGACACAGCCCACCTTGAAACAGTGTTCCAGACGTTTGGTTTGTCTAGGCCCACATCGGGTACGGCACTCTAGAAGAAAAAGATTCAAATGCTTCCTATTGCTGTTTTAAAATTTTTAATTGTAGTACCTACAGGATTCCAATTCTTATATAAATGTACAAAGTCCCATTTTTATATATATATAATATATATGTATAATAAAATAGAATATATACTAGAAATGAGACATGTTCTCTGTTACTCCGAGTTTCGTGCTTACGCACTCATCAGACAGACTATAATGAAGAATATTCCTGTTACCGCGGTATAAATATACAAAAGGTGTGATAAAGTTGGACAAAAGAAATTTTATTTAATACAGGTTAATTAGTTAGGTGGAGTTCTATTGTTCATGAGATAAAACTTGTTTTCGTGTCGGCATTTGGAGATTAATTCGGATCGTTTGTTTAGAAGGGTGTTGTTATTTGCTTTGATGATGTATAGTTTTTTTGTTAAGCATAGGTCACACCTTTTTGTAATGTTGTTGTATGGTTTGGCTGAGGTGATGATGGTCCATTGTATGTCATAATCCTTGTTTTTGTCTTTAAGTTCCCAGATGTATTTTGATAGTTCGGTACTGTTGGCGTATTTTCGGTTGCGGAATGAGAGTTTGTGTTGTGTAAATCGTTGTTTGAAGGTTCCTTCTGTTAGGCCAATGTAGTTTTTGCTGACAGTGTCTTCGGTTGTGGTGATATGTGCGTTGTAGATGATGCTGGAAGAGAGGCAGTTGTTGTCTAGTGGGCATTGGTCTTTTTTTCGGCAGTTGCATGTTTTCTCGTTGGTAGTGGTGGGATTGGTGTTGATAATTTTCTTGTTGTGTTTGTTGATGATAGTTTGCATATTATCCATACAGTTGTAGCTGACTTTCACGTTGTTCTTGTTGAAGATCTGATGGAATTTGTGATTCTTGGGGAAGTGTATGTGTATGAGCTTGAGGAAAGTTCTGCCGATGTTAGTTTGTACATTCTTGCTGTATGGTGGGTTGTACCAGATTATGTTGCGCTGTCTGTTTCTTCTTTTACGTGTGGGTGATGTGTGGTCGTTGTATTTTAGGGTGTCGGGGTATCCACTGGCTTTTAGGGCGTTTTCGTAGATGGGCTTGGCTTTGTTGAATTCACCATACATGAACATCACCATACAGACCAACCTAAAAATTGTGAACTACCTCGACGTAACACTAAACCTAACAAATCAATCGTATTGTCCATACAGAAAGCCCAACGACCAGCCACTATACATCAATACAAAGTCCAACCATCCCCCCAACATCATAAAGCACTTACCTGGAGCAATCAACCGTAGAATAACTGACATATCATGCAATGAAAGTGAATTCAACAAAGCCAAGCCTATATAAGAAAGATACGAGAGTGATACAGAACCTATATAAACAACATACTGCAGCTGTTCAGATGCCTGGTGGTATCACAGAGGAGTTTGCAATAAAAGAGAAATCAGACAGGGCTGTGTTGGCTTGTCTGACCTGTTCAATCTCTACAGTGAGGTGATTCTACATTTGTTGAAAGTAGTAACAGAATGCATACCGATCAGCACCATACATCTGAAAAACATCCATATGATCTTACTGGCTAGTTCAGGTGAAGGCCTACAGTGGCTTTTGGACAGGCTCACCCTAGAAAGCGGGCGCTACAGCCTTTTTATCCATGCCAAGAAAACAACATGCATGGTCTTATCTAAATCTGACCCTGAGTCAGCTTGCACATTGAAGCAGGGAATAACAGAGATCGAATTATCTTGGTGTCCTCCGTTTAACTATCTTGGTGCTCCTATTACCTCCAACAGCCAAACTAAGAAAGAAATCTTCTCATATTCTACATATAGTTGATACTAATGTATGGTTGCGAATCATGGAATTTCACTGCTGAAACCCAGCACAATGTAGAGGCTTTTGGAATGTGGTTTTACTGACGCATGTTGCAACATGTTGAAGATTTCCTATGTGGATAGAGTAGCCAGTGACAAGGTATTTGCTCACAGTCTCCTTGGCCATATTATTCACAAACAGTCACTCGAAGATCCACCGGCAGGACCAGAGGAGAAAAAGGGGGTCAAAGGAAGACCTTTCTGGACAATTTCCTGTAGGCAACAGCACAGAAGATTTGGGACACAGCCCGCCTTGAAACAGTATTCCAGACGTTTGGTTTGTCTAGGCCCACATCGGGTACGGCACTCTAGAAGAAAAAGATTCAAATGCTTCCTATTGCTGTTTTGAAATTTTTAATTGTAGTATCTATAGGATTCCAATTCTTATATAAATGTACAATGTCCCATTTATATATATATAATATATATGTATATATATTTTCCTTTGTAATACCGTAGAATCCCGTTATAACTTACTCGGTTATTACGTACTTTCAGATAAAACGTACCGGTGTGCTTGGTCCCGGCAAAAGGTGTGCTTGGTTTTAGTCAATTTTTACTTACCCTCGTTACAATGTACTTCGGATATAGCACACTTAATATGCTGGTCCCTTAAAGTACGTTATAACCAGATTATACTGTAGAGCTTTTCTATTTTGCCAAAAACCAAACCAACCCTCCCAATGTGATTTGATCTTTTCACATCAATTGTTACATCACTTGCTTTTGATGGCTCTATCTAATCCAGTGACCTTTTAATTTTGTTGTTTTTGATTGCTTTTCTTTAAATGACAATGAAAGCCAGCAGTAACATATGATTAAAAAGCTTCAATCTACTTCCCTGAAAACTTTAATCTTGAATCCTATTTGAATTAATGTCATGTCTTAAAATCCATGTCCTTTTACTAATGAATCTGGAAATCTTGGTAATTCAAGTTGTCTGCATTCTTTAACCCTTAGGTATTAGATTTGTTTTTTGAAATTCTTATGCAGTAAAAAAGATTCTTAGCGTGATATAATTTTTTTTTAGAATGATCTCAGCTGATTTTGCTGCAATGGCCATATTGATATCATTTGGTGCTGTTCTAGGGATTGCCAATTCAGTACAGTTGCTAACAATTGCTCTCCTGGAAGCTTTATTTTATTCAATAAATGAAGGAGTTTGTACTACAATTTTATATGTTTCTGATAATGGCAAAACATTCTTTGTCCATGTTTTTGGTGCAGTCTATGGTGTAGTTGTTGCACGAATGCTTTATCGTGGGAGAGTGTTTCGTAATAGTGGTCTTCTATGCTCATCATATAATTCAGAGGTATTCACTTTGATAGGTGAGTGTGGTTTTATTTTTTTCAACTCCTGACTTATTCAAAATTGTTTCAAAATAAGGTAGAACTAACATGTAGATGTAAATTGATTTGATAAGAACTTTCAGTTCTAGGTATGAATGTTGAAAACCTGTTTTCTCTGAGCTCATTGATTTTAATTTTTAATAGATTCTCCACTTGCAACACATTGCATATGAAGCTAGGATGTTAGTCTTCCAAGTTTATGGTCATGAACAGCTGTTTTAGCTGGAACAGCTGTTGTACCATTCCATATGCTCTCTTTCTTGCTTTTTAGTTGTCAGCATTTTCTTTCTCTTAATGATTTGACCTTCTAAGCAAATTTGTCTTTTATGGAGCTGTTTTATTCTTTTTTATTCAAAATAGGCAACTAATACAATTGTTTTTATCAAAATTATTTTACCTTTATCATCCATGGTTGCTTTTGATAGAAATTGAAACAAATGAATGTGCATTTGATTTGTTTCAATGTTTTCACATAACTGAAAGATGTTTACTTACCAGTTTACAGTTTTAAAGAAGATAATACAGGGGATCAGTGGAGCCTTAGTTGTTGCTACTCTCAGATTTTGTCAGCATTCTCTCTGATTTTTGAATTGTTTTTGTTGATTTTTATCAAAATATTGGTGGTTCACAAATCAAGTGACATTTTTTATGAACTTGACAAGCATTGTCAAAATAATTATAATGCTACATTTTTTGATCTACATCTGATCATCAACTGTTTACAAATCAATTTTAAAAGTTTTGAATTTGAATTTGCAGTTTATCAGTTAGAATAGTCTATGCAATGTTTTGATGATGTTGTGCTTCTAGGTACAATGTTCTTATGGGTTTACTGGCCAAGTTTCAATTCCTATGGTGCAGATGATATTACACGACAAAGGGCAATGGTAAACACATTTTATGCCCTTGCAGCAAGCTGTGTTGCAACATTTGCTTTTAGCGTTTTGTCTAGCTCAGAATCCAAGCTGCATATGGTAAGTAGTTATTTTTTCAACTTTATACAAACTGTCTTTGCAGCTAAAAAAGGGTGTAGGTTTTAAAATGTGTGTAGTGAAAAAAGTATAATGTCACATTTTCCCTTAAAGTTATTAATCGTTTACATCACAGTTTTCAACAGAAATCATTCTGACTATGACAAGCTTTCATAACATCCCATAAGATTTTATGGTGCTATACTGCAATCCTTGCAGAAGAAAAGGAGTAAGCCTTTCAATCCCCCATCTGGAGGTACCGAATGACCCACACAGCAAAAAATAACCAATCCATCGAATGACCTTAAAATAAGCATCTGCCAAACCTATTGCAAGTAAGCATCTCCCAAACCAACTGCAAATATAAAGTTGTTCAGGCAATAGTATGCTTGCTACTTTTGTTTTTGGCATTGACTAGGTATGATATTACATGCTTTACTCAACGTGAAACATACTTCATTCAGATCCTCTTATGTTACCAAGCCAGTTCTTTAGATTCATCATAAAGCAGTTATTTTGGGTAGTGAAATAAAAGGTCGTTGTAAGAAGCAATATGTTTGTTTTGATACCATAGGGTCATATACAGAACGCCACTCTAGCTGGTGGAGTTGCAATTGGATCTATTGCACAAATGATAATACAGCCTTGGGGTGCTGTTCTCATGGGCTTGGTCGCCTCTCTTATAAGTGTTATTGGTTATCGTTACATACAAGTATGTTCTAATTTTCAAAATTACTTATGTTAAACTATGATTTTTGATTGTTATCTTATTTTTATCCTCTAGCTTAAATTTCCTCTATAAATAAAAATATCTATAGTTTTGAAACTTTTTTACCGTGATAAATCGATTCCAATATATTTTTGGAGGTCAGAATTTGAAAATGATTCCATTATTGTTAACATGGATAAAAATGTTCTTGACAGTATTTTCATCGTTTGCTTCTCTGTTAAATATATAAATGTTTTCCTTTTACTTTAAGGAAATTAATTGTTTTATTATTAGATTCACAGTCTATAGTAAAGGGGATCTTAATTAACAGATACTGATCTAAATGCATCTTTAGCAGTCATCATCTTGAATACAGTCCTATGTTTAAAATCTGACTTGTATTATGGATGATTTATTCAAAGCCCAGAAGTAATTATTGAGAATTCTAGCTCGATATGTTAACGTTTGTCTTTGGTTGCCAACTCAAACCTTCGTGGAACCTTAACATCATTAAAGGCAATCCACAGATACTAAAGTGGCTTAAGCTACTGTAAGGCCTCGAATTGCCCCCCCCCCCTCGAAAAAGCCCCCACCCTCGAATAAGCCCCCCTAGAACTACAAATTGTCAATAAGCCCCCCTTCGAATAAGCCCCCACTGCTATAGTAAATTCTCGAATTGAACCCCTCCATTGGATGATTTTTGCTATCTGAGATTGCCTATGGCGTTTTATTGAATTATCACAACAAATTCATACTTTTCGTAGTAATTAATTAAATGCTCATAAAGAAATTCCTACTAAAATAAACGAGGTCTTTTAATAATGTTTTCTTAATGACTACAATAATTATATAACCCCCCCCTCTCGTATAAGCCCCCCTCGAATAAGCCCCCATTCAGAAATATCAAAAATAAATAAGCCCCCAGGGGGCTAATTTGAGGATAAACGGTATCTGTCAATCATTATTAGCCAACCATTAAGCGTGTGAATGATATCACGTTCGCCGATTGGTCAATTGTTGATTGACAGGCGGCTAATACCAATTTAGTATCTGTCTTTAAAACAATTTAGTATCTTGTGGACTGCTTTTAAAAATCTTATGGATTTTTTTAGAGAAAGCTAGAACGAAGATTCAGGATATTTGACATCAGAGGTGTTTTGGCGATCCACGGATTTCCAGGACTGCTTGGAGCCATAGCATCTGTAATTGTAACCGCAATGGCCAAATATGGGACCTACAAGACCAGGTAATGACAATTATAATGATTAGCCCAATGTAAGGAAGCCGTGCGCTCGGTTCTTCGGCAGACCATCGAGCCATTCGACGGAACATTTACTCAATATTATTTACATGCAATCATGGTATTTCAAAATGTCGGTTCTATTTTTGTATACATATTATGTGATTATATTACCAAGACTAATTATGTATCTAATCATTTATGGATATAAGCATTGTTTATATATTGAAACCTGAATATTAAGTTTGTTTTTCTCAATAAACGACGTCATATTCCATTAGCTATGTTTGTGAGTCATCTTCCTCACAATTTTATTTTTAAATTTCAAGACCAGTGTTGTCGATGTTACTGAGAGGCAATATAATCAGGCTGTTTGCCTGTAGACTTTGAAAAAGGTACTGTTTTTGAGATGTTCTTTGAATGGGGACGGTTAGAAATTCCGTGTAAACAGCGACAAGATTTTTTAAGCCATAATTGCCAAAACAGGGGTGTTTGGAAATTTCAAGGTAGAGTGTCCGCCTGACTGTAATAATATCGTAGAAAAAAGGTAGCCATTTTTATCACGAGTCCGCCTTTTTGTCTCAAATGTAGTCATGCAACTGTTTCTTTTTCTTCCAGCCTCTATCGCCTGTACCCGGCTGTTACACCAACAAGCAATTCAACAGCTTATAACGAACTAACGCAGTTTGAGCCCGACATTCCTCCTGGCCTAAATCGATCACTTGGGCAGCAGGCAGCGTTCCAAATTTCTGGCCTGTTTCTAAGCATCTCGGTTGCATTGCTTGGTGGATTGATAACTGGTAAGACTGAGCTCGGGGGACATGGCAAATCCGAATAGGCAACAGGTTTTCCTCAATGTCATATTGAAAGGATAGCGTTTCCTCACCCTAGACGAATTGTGATTTGTTTATAATTATATAGTCAGATACTCAATAACTCCTTTAAGTGTATGACACAAGGCTAATTTGATTAGCCTATCCGGATTTGCTAGTTTAGCCTTGAACTTGTTTTTAGTTTGTGTTATCTTAGCCATTGCACACCAGTTGCAGACCGGTTGTCGCTTGTTGCATGTTATTCCTGTGATGTGCAACACACCTTTTTATGCTCTCGCAACAGTTGCCTGAAGTAGGACTCTGTTCTACTTTCTGCAACGATTGCCAGCATTTTCATATCCAATGCATCGTGGAACAATGTACTGTATCACTAGCGTAAAGAGAATATCTACTGAAATTTGTTTACTTTGTCGTCTCAGAGAATATATAATTTACCATTTTAAAAAGTTTAAATATAATTTTTACTTCCAGCAAGCTCTTAAGTCAATGGTCTTCGCTTAAATGAGGAATATACACATTGTTTAGCTATGTGTGCCTAGATCAAATTTCTAGGCTATCATCTGCTTTCTAAGTAACTTTATACGATTTTACCCGCGACCGTATCATCCATGAGTCATTTAAGTATTTATCCATGAGTCACTTAAGCATGAACGTAATACTAGACCCATTTCAAAACGCACAGAGAGCACTATTCACTTTTCGATGTCCGACATGTATTTTCATTCAATCGACATGATTTCAAGAACCGAAATTTCGGTTACTTTGCTTCGTGAATTTTTGTATTTTTGGCATTAAGTCAGTCCAGTCATCATCATAATCAGTCATCATCATAATCAGTCATCATCATAATCAGTCATCATCATAATCAGTCATCATCATAATCAGTCATCATCATGATCAGTCATCATCATAATCAGTGATCATCACAATCAGTCATCATCATAATCAGTCATCATCATAATCAGTCATCATCATAATCAGTCATCATCATAATCAGTCATCATCATAATCAGTCATCATCATAATCAGTCATCATCATAATCAGTCATCATCATAATCAGTCATCATCATAATCAGTCATCATCATGATCAGTCATCATCATAATCAGTCATCATCATGATCAGTCATCATCATAATCAGTCATCATCATAATCAGTCATCATCATAATCAGTCATCATCATGATCAGTCATCATCATAATCAGTCATCATCATGATCAGTCATCATCATGATCAGTCATCATCATGATCAGTGATCATCATAATCAGTCATCATCATGATCAGTCATCATCATAATCAGTCATCATCATAATCAGTCATCATCATAATCAGTCATCATCATAGTTATATTCATTGCCTCATCGACTTTCGCACATAATATATCGTTGCCAAATTGACATTTCCCCCAAGCATTTTGCGAATTAGTTTAAGACCGAAACAGATGTTCCCTATAATTCTACCCTCTGCTTCCGGCTAATGGTGTCTGTCATTTTGCCCAACGGCATAACAAACGTGACTGAAAATGTCAGTCTCTCTGGGTCACTCCGTTCCTGTGTGTTTTTGCTTTCATTTCTAGTATCAAGTTTAACGTTCTAGTTTTAATGATCCCGATTGTTTAAAACCCACTTGATAACAAGGGCTGCAGACATTGATGAGAAAGAGAATAATTAAGACCGCATTTAAATCCACCTTGTCTTACTCAAAGTAGAGCCAGCTAGACGTAGGACAATCAATTGCTATTTGATATAAGGTATCGGAAGCCAAAAAGGGTAGTTAAAATACAGGGTTGAATCACTGTCTATGGTTACGTTGTTTTGTAATATAAGGCGGGGTTATGTTGTTAGATATAAGGCGAGACTTTAAACACATTTTCGATGTTTAAGACCTTTTTCATGCTTGATTTCATGTCTCCCCTGCTCCCCGCCTTCATTGACTGCATTGGTTGTTTTAACGGGTTGAAGTCGGCTTTTGTTTCTTCACAAACATGCCAGTTGCCATAGCTACTCAAAGGGATGGCTCACTCGTTTGATCTTTCACCTCCCAGGGGTTCTCTGTAAATTTTGTTCCCTATTCTAGCTTTTGCAATGGTTTGCAGCAGGGGTGCCGCCCTAAAATGTTAGGACGGTGGGTGTGTTTTAGGCAAATTCAAGAGATCCATGACCCATGACCACACCCCTCCATACCCAATATACTTGCATTTGTGTTAAAGACTCTCCGTTGTGTGTAGAAATTATTCAAACTATTCAATGACACAAAAGACTGATAAGAAATTGCTCATTAATGAGGAATCTATAATATAAGAGAGGGTTGCCAACACGGAATTCGTCCAACAAAATATGAACTCACTTTGTTAAGGGGGAGGAAGCCCTTCCAAAATCCCTCTGAATTTCAACAAGGGACCCCGAGCCCCCTGAGCCCCCCTGAGCCCCCCTTCACGGCACAACTGGTTTCCATGTAGGTAACCATAGGATATTTCATGGCTTCTGATGATTTCCCGCTTACTTTTAGGAGAATCTTGAGGGCTTTTGTGAGACCGACCAAGATGACAACATCCCTGACGATGCTTCACAGACATCAAAAGATTTGACGAGAAATAACAGCGTCGGTGAGCCAGTTTAGGAGACATTCTTCATAAAGTAGATTGTTGCGCAAGTCGCCTAATGCAGATAGGTATGAACACTAAACTTAGTTTCGATGTTTCATTTTTATAGGAAAAATAAATTTCTCTTCACTAGTTTTATTTTACATTGTCAAATTTAAATACCTGTTCTCTCTTCTCCCAAAATTCGTTTGGAACTTCCCTTAGAACAGTCTTCTCGAAACTGAGAACCTAAAAATACCCCGGGCAAAACTGATGTTTTTTTCTTTACCATATTGACCTTTGATGCTTGAAGGATTTTTTTAAACAAGCCGTTGACCAATTAAACTATTCTTCTTTGAATTGCTTCCCTTCATCGGTATCCAGGACAATCTAAATCTTCCCACCAATAAGCAAAGTCTTTTAATGCGGCCTTTATCGGAATTAGCAAAAAGGTTTGGTTTGTTTGTCGCTCCATTATTGTCATCTCCTCTAGATCCCCCTTTTCTAGCTTTCGATTTGATGTGCCCTAAGATATTAAAAGTAATATTTTTAGCATGAATGCTTACGATTTAAATCTGATATACAAAGCAGTGAAATATTTCAACTTGGCAGTGTCCAAATTCGTTTGTTATTTTTTATTACTGAGGTAAGTTTTAACGTAAATTAGCTTAACCTTGCTTTAGCTGACATTAGCAGCAACCCTAAAAAGATTTTTCAATGTCCAATTGCATGTAGATTAAGAGGTTTTAAGCAGTATTAATTTGGAGTTGTATTACAGTTATCAGATACCTTATCGCAGAATGTATAAAATGAATAGCTATTTTATAAGTATATCCAATTGATCGTATATAGATGATTTTTTACCAGATTAAGCAATTTAATTTTATTTTTGGTTAAGTTTATAAAACATAGTTGCGTAGTTCTCATTTTAATTTGCAAAAACCGAGGCACAGGTGACGAACCCAAATGAGATGCAAAACGTATTGATTTATCGCTAAAACGAGTTCCAGGGTGAACAAACCAAGTCCCAATGTAAGCAGTAAGTATTTTAGTCAATCAGTACCTCTCTCGCTTTGAAATATCTTGAATGACCTGTCTGCTACTCAATGCATTTATGAATAATCCCTGAAACGGTTGTTTTAATCCCCAGTCGCTTTCCACGGAAGTAAACATTGAAGTATCAATATCTTGCCAATTATGATTGTATCCACATAGAGAATGCAAATTCTATCCCTTTTTAAACCGAGTTTCATTTTCGTATTGTCAGGAATGTGGTTGTCAAAGGGATGATTTCGAAGATTGTGTCTTTTAATTTTTTATAGCCGGTTTTTATTTCAGAAAGGACCATCTAGAAGGATCGAGATTTGATCAATTTTTAGGAAGCTCCTGTGAAAGATTTTATTGTAGTATTGTTTTACGTAAAAATGTTTGCTTTTACTCAAATAATAGTTTCTTAGCTATTGTGTGCACATTGTAGCTTTAACTGTAGTTAAGAGAAATGTCTTTAATTAAATCTATGATGATATAAGTGCACATATCTCCCTTTCCTTTTTTTAATTGCTTCTTTTTCTGTTTAGCAAAGATTTCATTGAATTATCGTATTTTTCGATAATTGTTTTTGGCAGCCGATCAAATGGAAAGAAAACAAAGATAATTGCGAACGAGGTTTGAGATTTGCGAACGAGGAATCTCTGCCACTGCAATCATTATTGTCGCTGTTGTAATCATTATACTGGATATCATAATTATATTCGTCACAATGACCATCCTCACTATAATTTTTATTATCTTCACCATTAAATACCACGACACAACTTCATGGTATGTTTTCACATTTCAGCTTGATATCTTAAGCTGAATTCACACTGGACACGTCGCGGCGCGGCGCGTCACTGAGCGTCATCGAGCGTCGCGTCATGTACTTTTTCATGCTATTCACACACGATGCGTCATCGAGCGGCACGTTTTCTGTTTTCCCATGCTGTTCACAGCAAACTTGCAAAATTCTCGACAAGTTGTACTGTATTCTTTGCATTGCAAAATCAAGCCGGACATTTACGTTTGCTACAGAAACGGATGGAACGGCAATCTGAAGCTAATATATCCGAGAGGTTGGCCAATGTTTTGAAAGGAACACGATTCTCTTCAAGCATTCATTAGAGAACCGAAATTTTTATTTCGGTAGAATAGTGCATTTGTTGCTCATATTTCAGGATGGCAGGCAGCAGCAGTAAAAGAACTGGACTTGATGACTTTGTCAAAATTGGAAAAGAGCTTTACAGCTCCTCTGAAGAACATCCAAACGAACATTTCCTCACAGTGTGCGCGCGTATTTCCTATTCACTTGATAACGGGCTATGCTCGAAATGTCGTTATTTATTTAAAAAAAAATATTTTTTAGGTACAATTTACTTACATTGATTACGTTATTATAGCATCATATTGTACCGCACGCATTTTAGTACAAGTTAACAGTATCCGATAATATTCCTTCAAAAGTTTTTAAAATGGCAACAGATGTTGTCTCGTTTCCCTAACTGGCGACTTAGAATCAGAAACTGCAATAGTTTATGAATGGTTATGTGAAACTTTTTTGTGCTAAACGATGATAATAGCAAGCTTTCAACATTTAAAGCCAACCGATTCAATTTAGAGGAATCTAAAGTTAAAATTAATGGTTTTAATATAAAAAAAGGCAAGCATGTTATATTATTATGAGTAGCATTGGATCTTCAACTTAGATTAGAAGAACATATAAAATTTTTTGCAAAGAAGCTGGAAAAAAAGTAAATGGCCTTATTTTATCAAACTTGAATTTTTGTCCTGTTATTTGGATGTTTTGCATTAGGAAAGTAAAAGCCGGATAAACAGAATTCATCAATCAGCTTTTGAATAAATTTTGTTAAAGAATAATTCAATAAATTCTGACAAGAAAATTTACAGTATCTTACAATAGAAGTTTATAAAAGATTTAACAGTGTAAATCCTCCTTTACTGGATGAAATATTTTCCATAAATGAATAGCCACCCATATAACTTAAGAACCTTCCAATCTGAAACAGCGGAGCCTCATTACAAAATAGGATTTGATTTTGTACAGGGTCATATAGATATGGCCATACATGGAACTCAATACCAAGCGAAATAATATACTCTGCAATTTTCCAAATTTTCAAGAAGAATCTCTGAATTTTCATCGTCCAATTGTAGTTGGTTTTAATTAGCTTCAGTATAGCTAGATATAAGACAAATTTTAAATAAAAAAGATAAAAAGCAAAATACGTAGCCTTATTATCGCTATTAACGCTATTAATTAGTTCTGAATCTCCAATAACTTATAATATATTATTAGTAGTTATGTCATAACTATGTCATAATACGTTATACTTAGTGCAAATGCTGTGTCCTATACTTATTGTATGTCCTATGGCTAATCGATTTGATACTTGTCAAAAATACTTCGTCACACTCTCTGCTAACGATATTCACACCTTGAGATTAACGAAGATTAAATATGGTGAAAAGATTATTAAAATATATAAGACAGCAAAATGCTAAAAAACACAGACTCGTGACAGGTTTGTGAATATTTTGTTTTTTAACAATTTCAAAACTTGTTGCTAGTTTCTTTTGCATTCACCATTAAGTCTTACTCTTTTATCTTAATTTTCTATGCTGGTCTTTCGTGTTCAGCATCTTCTGAAATCTTTTTAATTCAAGGGTATTAGTCGATTAGTTTTTCATTCTCTTTTTCAACGTTTTCCTTGCAATTTTATTCACAAAACTTTCGCCTTTCTTTTTAGAGTGGATCCATGTATTCTTAGGCGGAAAACTACTTAGAAAATCACTTGGCCACATTAGAATTTTGGAATCCTCTTGGTTCTCCGAATGGCTGCAGTCTGATGATGTAAAGTTTCCTTTACATTTGTGTAGTCTAAAAACATCGTTTGACTTCTTTAAAAGTATATTTCAAAACAAGATTGGGTCTATCAATATCTGCCAGATGTGCTAAATCATTAAATCTGAGTAAGTTCACCATGAACACCATGAAAACCTGAGTAAGTTTTTAATCATGTCACTTTGTAATTGCTGTTGCGGTGACAGTTTTTTGCTACTTGAATTTCAATGACGAAAATAAGACATACAAGGTCTCGATCTCTACTGAATATACTCACAATAGTTTAACTTGGTTTTCAATGTCCCAAGGCTTTGTACAGGAGAAGAGAAACATTATAACCTGATCTCGACAGCTTGACCCAACGTAGTTAAGCTGTTACAAGGATTTTTTCACAGACAGCTACTAGGATAGAGCAAGACTCGCTTCTTTATTCAAACATTTACTTCCATAAAGTTATCTTGGTAATTAATATGTTTATTAGAGCTAGTTCTCGTAAATAATGGATTTGAGATTATTCTGTAATGAGTCTGTCCTGTTTTTGTATTCCGGCTGTCGTTGATTTCTAGATATTTTAAGATGTTATATGAATCTATCGTAGAAATTGAAATGCAAATATCCAGATAGAACTTATTCACGGTGTTTTGACTTGTGTTATGTAAGTGAATTACCAGGGATCTATTTCTTAACAAGAGAAGCAAGAGGAGGCTCTTGAGATATTCAACACTGCTGACGTCAAAGGAAAGCTCTCTACGTAACTGTCGCTTTTAGGAGGGCTCTGACAAGTGTTTTCAAAAGCTTGAAAGTTTCACAGTAAGTTAGTTTGTTGTAAAGTTGTAGTTTTTCTCTTTTAAGATTTTTTTGGAAGGGAAACTTGTCTCAGAGATTTATACCGAAATGCTATCCTGTAGCAGAAAGAATGATGAATAATGTATCTCATTTTAGGCTCGATATAATTTTTTTCAAGAAATATGCATGTTCAGATAGTTGCTATGAAATGGCGTTAAAGTGTTGATGTCTCTTACTGAAAAAAATACAATCCTTGATTCTTTTTTACTTTTCTTGCAAAATTGAATACACAATGCTAAGGTTTGCTTTTCTGTTCAATTTAAATCGTCATTTTATTTATTGGATATTCTGTACATTTGATTTATTTTAAGTGGGAAGTTTTTTCAAGTTTTTCAGCTCCAATCGATAAACTTGCTGATATGTTAGATACGGTAAGTGAATATCTGCAACATGATTCCACTTTACTGTCTGAGCAGGACTTGCTGCAGATTGTTAGGCCACTGCGTGAAGACACCAAAGTTGAAAGAATTCTGAAATTGGAAATTTCGTGGCTTTAAAAGCATTCATTTGAGCTGAGCAAGGGTTATTTAGTTTCTTTTATTTATCAAAAAACAGATTGAATAGTTTCATCGAACTCGAATCGAAAGCTGTTTTGGAAACTTGCTTTGTCTCGAATCGTTCACGGTTGTTAAAGATGTAATTTACCTGACAGTTTCTGCTGCTCCTGCTCTTATTTTGGTTTTCTTTGCATTTAAATAATTGCTATATAATTTGATACACTGTATTCAGAAAGTTTTACTGTATCGACAATTTATCCCTCAATCCCTTACCTCAATCATTGCTTACCTGGATCAGACGATAAGAGTACAGCGTCATGTTTGTCTCTGCTGAAGACTATAAGCATGTTTTGTATGATATCGGCATGTACAAAAGTGTCTAAGGCCTTCCACACAAAGAAACGTGAAACAGTTTCACAAGCAGCCTGTAGAGAAGACTGTTTCTGTAGCACCTGTTTATATTGACCTGAATTTACTTTCTAGATTCGGATAGTGGCTTTATGGGGTGGTTTGAGTCAAATTTGTCAGCTGGTGCAAACCATTTTGCATGTGTTTCGAGAATTCTTGAGACAATTCCTAATCATCAAATAGTACTTTACTAGACCAGCTCGAGAAATTGACAGTTCTTTAGCTTTGCATTTTTTCTTCCTTTTAGATATCAGTTCTGGACAAAGAAAGGGATGAAGACAAATTCTACCTGTTTTGGATGTAGTAAAAGAAAGTAAAATGCGAGTGAATTCAGTGATATTGGGCAACTGCTGTTGGTTTGGCCGGCTTCTGCTGCAACTGAGATGAAGTAAGTCAATACAATTTTTTCATTTCATTTTTCATTTTCAATTTTTTGGATAAGAGAATACCCTAGGAGGGTTATTTAATTTTTGGAAAGGGGAACCCGTTTTAATTTCAGTTTCGAAATTTTACATCTGTTATTTGTTTTGCTTGTTTTGTTACTTGAAAATCTTATTAAATCTTACTTATTTCCTTACGATATGATACTGCAAAAGTTCTGGATTGTAAAGGAATCTTAGAATTCACTTTGGAATGGTTCAGTCGTTCAATGTGATATTCTAAGGTGGATCTGCAAAGGAGTTTATGCTGTCACATGTTCCGTCCTTGATTAGTCAATCGATAAATTGAATTGCCGAACGTTGAAATTGCCTGATTGTGGGTTAAATAGGGAAGGTTTCTTTGCTGGTAGGTTTTACTCCTGGAAGGTCACCACCCCTTCTCCTAGCCTGCAAATAAAGGCACAATGGGAAAATGTTTCAAGATTAAAAATTCATTGCCAGTCAAACAGTCCTTTTGTAAGTGACTTAAATTTTTTTGTCAGTTGATAAGCTTCACATGCTATATGCAGAAAAACTTTGGCGTAAAATAACGGCTTCAGGAGAGGACCCTCGTCACGAAATCCTTCATCTGAAGAAGAATGCTCATCTTTTTTGGAATAGTTGTACTATACCATGTGAGCATAGCTCGAAGTTTTCTGATATATCTTTTTACCTTGTCTTCGTTGTACGTTGAGGAATTATTAGCCGCTTTTTTCATTTTTAAGGTCAAATTTGTTTAGTTGATATCATTTTTTAGCTAAATATACTCTTTTTAGCGAAAATTATGACCATATTTGGATGATATTGCTAAGAAAGTTGATAGAGTGTAAGGACATTTGGATATTTCTTGGACTGACGAAACGAACATCTCAAAAGAATACCTTTGAGCTGGAGGCAAAATTTATTGTATGACTGTAGAATTGCTTTTAACTGAAAGTGGGTAAATAAGATATCACCCCTTCATAATGAGGCTCTATTCACATGCTGTCCGCGCATTCTTAAAAAAATGGATAACTTACAATTTGTCAATATTGTTCAAGGTTTGTTGATTCTTGCAGCTCGTATCGTTCAATGTCGTAAATGTGTCCATCGAAACGTTACATTCATTGTTTTTTGGTATTTTTGCAATCTAAACCGAAGTTTTGAATTAATCAAAAATCAAATTAACATACCTCATGATGACTCAAATGTACATCTTCAGCTAGAGTAAGATTTTGCTTCTCTGTCTTCACATAAAGTAAGAACATCCTTTTCTGTCATAGGATTCATTAGATGTTGCCACTTGCCACCCACATTCGTTTGTTGAAGGAAATTAAAGCAGCAGCTCGAGGTTGGGTTCCTTTGGGTCTCTTTTGAAATACCAGCTATAAGACGAGCAGATGATGTGTGATTCTAGATAAAATAAATCGTTTATTGCTTTTAAGATACTATTTAAAATTACTTTCATTTATTGATTCCACTAAATGTATGTGTGATCTGTCCTTAAATTCTGCAAGATCTTTTTGTAAAAATGGGGATTTTTAGACTCTTTGTAGGACTTAATTTTGATTTTGCTAATAATTTAAAAAATATAAATATTTTTACAGGACTGGTTCAGTTGGAGCAAATATTCACGTTATTTCGAAGCTGATAGCAAAAATCAACGCTGTGCTAGAAGGCCAGAATCAATTGGGGGAAATGTTCATTAAATATACCACTAAAATATCATAGGAAGATGACCAGAAGAAGGAAGAATCCAAATTGATCTTAAAGTACTCCTTGGCGAAAGCCTCTGACTTGGCAATGGTAATCCTTCTTTCGAATATAACCATTAGATTTGGTATTCCTTTACACAACGTAACTAGATACATAGCGCAAGATAGATGTTCAAAAATTGCCTTACGATCGCTTTTTATTAGTTCGAAATCGGCAATAATATTTGTACAACGAATTGGTATGTCACAAGATGTTATTCTATTTGCAAATGCTCAATTGTACATCCAGGTGAGACGTGTCAAAACTACTTCTTCAAGCTCTGACGTTTGCCAATGACGTCTTTTTTCTTTAGTTGGTAATGCTAGGGAAGGCACAAGAGCCTATGACTAAGCGCTAACAAGAGAAAGGGAGGAGGGATTAGGAAGAGAGAGAGAAAAGATCAGGCTTCTATATTTTTGTTTTGAATAAAGACAGGTTGTAAGAGTCTGGAAAGCAGGAAGGGGGTTAAGCATTCCAAAGTTTACAAGATCTGGGGAGGAAGGATAGAGTTGTGGGATTGAGTTCGTGAGTTTGGCAAGGAGACTTGGAAAGGGTGAGTGCTAGAAGAGTATCTGATATTACGTACATGTCTCAAAGGGGCCAGAGATCATATCTCTGATATCCTGAGAGCCATGGGCGTGGTAATATAGCTTTCAGTGACCGTGCAAGAAGTGATGTTAACCAAGAGGCCCGATTAAATATGATTAAAAGACTGTTAAGATATGTTAGACAGGAAAAAGCTCAGAAAGAGAAGCAGACACATTCTAACCGTGACTGATTTTGCTTATCTGTTTTTATAAAATGCTTCTCTCTATCTAACTCTTTTAAGTATTGTTTTTTCATCTTTATTTTGTATGATGTTCTGTTTTGTTCACCTCTTTTAATTTTCTTGGGTATTAGTCGATTAGTTCGAGTGTCCCAATATTTAGGCTTTTCTCTAAGAATTTTCTCTCTATCACCATTTTTGTAACCATTTTATTATTAACAAACGATCTTTCTTCTTTTTACAGTAAGTCGATTATGCATGCTTAGAACGGCAGTTGCTTAGAAAATTCATTTGGACACATTCAAAATTCAGAAGCTTTTTTTCGAATGGCTGCAGTCTGATGACGCAGTAGACTTTTTTCGAAGATAATGGTGATGACCATCCTTGAGCACTTGAGGAGCGAACCGATAGAGTACAAGGACATTTAGAGATTTCTTGATCTGATGGAGCAGTCATCTCAAAAGACTGCTTTTGGATTCAAGGTAAAGATATTGTATGATTATTTTTGTAAATATAATCGCTATCATCATTACTTCTACAACGGAATCCCTGTGTCCAATTTTGAAGCAGTTAATTTTCGGTAGAATATCAGTGTCCAATTTTGAAGCAGTTAATTTTCGTCATTGTAGACTATCCTCTACAGTGGTCCAATTTGATAGAAGTTCTTCTACAGTGGGCCAATTTGACAGATGCTCTTTTCCAAAGGCCCGAACGCTCTTCGCCATAGGCCCATTTGATGGACGTTCTTCTCCCGAGACCTAGTTCTTCTAGTGTTACCGTATTTTATATAATAATAAAACGAATACTTAGACAAGATTTACACTTCAACGAGACTGCTGTTTTTAATGTGTCTTCTGTGCCCTATGCCGTAAATTTACAGTTAAAATGTAAGCTCATAAAAGTAATTATCTAAAAGACATAAAAAGCGTATTAGTCTAATATTTTAATCTATATTAATAGTTCCGGATAAAATTGCCAAATAAATGATCGTTTCTTGATCACATCTTAGTTACAAGATACACTGCTGGCCTATGGATTTATAGTTGGGGCTTTGAAGATGGCTTTGATGGTTCGCTGAAAACATTTATTGTTTTATTTCTTTAGATATTTATATATTAATTTATCTTACGAGATTTCCCCTGATTTTACTAAGTTGTCGTTTTTTACAAAGAGCCCCATCTTTTGCTAAACTGTCGGTTTAAACACAGTTTTTGGCACTCTTTCGGTAAATTTTGTCATTTGTCGGCAAATTTGCTTGTTTTGTGAGATTTCGCCTCCCCCCACCCCTCTGAAAAATTAATTCCCCCCTCTAATGAAAGGTACTCTGAAATCTAAATCTAGAGGCGGAACCTAATTAAAATTTTGTAGATTAAAACTTGAGTAAACCAAAAGACGAAATTTTGTTTAGTGACATTTTTAGACTGCGGGGCTTGTTACTGAAAAAGGGATAGTAATTTCAG